CTTTAATGCCTTTTTATCTGTTGATACTATGGTTATATCGTCCGCATATCCTTTTATTTGTTCTGCATTTTTGGTTATAGTTCCTGCGTTGACACTTTTTTTATTATCTTGTCTAGTCGTAGAATGAATAGTACGGTTGAGAGCACATCTCCTTGTCTTATTCCATTTTTTATTTTTATTATTTCTGTTCTTTCTCTTCCGGTGTCTGTTATTGCTTGGGAATCTCGCATTGTCATTTCTATCATTCTTATAATTTTATTTGGTATGTTACTCTCTTGTAAGTCTTGGATCATTTTTCTTCTGTTTAGTTTGACAAACGCTTGTTTAAAGTATATGTGTTTCTCCGTCGTACCCGTACGCTTTCTCTAATCACTTTTTTAGCGTATGTAGAGCGTTTATCGTGAATCTTCCTTTTCTAAAACCGTACTAGTAATCTTCTATGCTGTGTTCTGTATATATTGTTATTATGTCTAAGTATACCAGTTGATCGGTAGTTTTTGCATATTCTATTTTCTCCTTGTTTTGGAAACGTCACTATCCCTTCTTCCATTCTTCGGGCATTATTTCTTTGCTTCATATATATTCTGTATTAATTCATAAATATGTCTGTATAGTGCCTCTCCGCCGTATTTTATATATGTTCTGCACATATTCCGTCTTCTCCCGCTGTTTTCTCGTTTTTTTTTTAAGTTTGCGTATTTTCTCTTTCACTTTTTATTGGTCAATTCTTTTTCTTCATCATCTTGTTCTGTGTTCGTTATTGTTTCTATTTCTTCTTCTTTATCCGTTTCTTGATATATTTCTTCGATATACTTCCGCCATTTTTCTGCTTCTATAGCTATATTAGCTGTCCGTTAGCTAGTTTTAAGTATTGGTACAATACTTTTGAGTTGTGTCTATCTCGTATAATTTCTTCTACTTTTTGATTTTTTTTATTCAAATAATTTCTTTGTCTTTTGACTTTGATATTTGTATTTTTTTCTTTCCTCTTCATTGCTTGTGCTTAACCATTTCAATCTGGTTTAATTCTTTTCTTTTGTTAAGTTGCACTCATCCTTAAACCAATTATTTCTTCTTTTATTTTGCATTTTGTTATAACATAAAGTAGGTTTCAAAAATTCACTCATTAGTGTATGGAATCGACTTTTTTACCCACAGCTTGAACTATAGGTCTTTAAAAACTACTATAGTAGTTGTACTGTTTATTAGTACCATTATTGTTTGAAAACTGAGCAACTCTTTAACAAAGCCTCGTTTACGGATAACCTAATATTAAAAAACCAACAACTTTCTGGTTCAATTAGAAATAAACAAATAGGTAAATATTTGAAACTGAAAACAACAATCATTTATAAAAACTGGGTTACCAAATATTTGAACAAAACTTTTGCATTTCTAATTTAAAATTACAGCCTCTCCGTCAAACCATAACGTTCACGAACTGTGTCGATCTCTTAAACTGCAGAATAATAACAGTTATTTAATAAAGCGTGTAATTTGGCAAAGCGAACATTGTAATAAAAGAAATTCATGACCATTTCTGTATTTCTCACTATTTTTAGAACGCATCTTAAGCTTTCATATTCTTAACTGAATAGAAATATATATCCTAGTTCCCACATTCTTTTTCACACTAAATAGTACATTGCCTAGTTTGTGTGGGAGAATTTGAAATCTTACTTAACTTTTAATTACTTCATAGTTTCTCATTACGTTGTTTTGATTTTAATGATGTTCGGGTAAGACTGCTTAAAATTGATTTTTTTAAAACACCAGTTAATAATGCGAATAACAATAATAATCAAAAGAATGATCCTGCAAGAATATTTTTACTTTTTAAAGCCATCGGTCACCCTGGGCTAGTGTGCATCGATACTAATTACCGGAAAAGGGGTTAAATGTAATTGGCACCGGAACAATCTGAAAACAATCTCCTCAGTAAAAATACCAAAATAATTCAATTTTCCTCAGCATTCGTTTTTCACAGGGTGCAATGCTCTTTCAGTCCTCCCTATATTAGTACTCCGTCGTGTTTTGATCTTAATCCCTATAACATTAGCAATTGCGCTGTTACTGGAGTACTTTAGTGTTCAAAATTTGTAACATCACATCTAGTTTCTTACAAGAGTTTATTTCTGGTAGCGGTGGTCTGCTTAGTGGGTTTGTCCCATTTAACTCTTGTACGGTACTTGCTAGTTTACTTACAGGCTATCGTGCAACTCGTTATTTTCCTGCTGTGTATTAACAGGTTAAATTTCTTGTATGAGAGGTTCAGGAGTCTGCTCATTAGGGATTTAATTATGGATTTTATCTACAACTATCTCTTGGCTATGAATCTCCCATTCTACTTCGCTTCTGATGGTATCGATTCTAGTCTTTAGGATAAGATTATTTCTTGTAATTACCTGGTATTAATATGCTATTCGCTTGTCAGATACTTTAATATCTGGGTACTCCCTGCAAAATTCGACTCACAAAATGTTGTCGATAGCCGATTGTTTCTCGATCGAGGTTCGTCATCTTGTAATAGAAGCGCAAAATGTTTTCGTTTCTTAGACACAGTCCATTTCATGCGCTGCCTCGGTGGCCCCGCTTGAGTGAGCGCCGGCTGATGTTCCAGCGCAGCACCTTCAGCGAGTTGAGCTCCTGTTGTTGTTTGGCTGACTTGTGGTTCTTCTTGTTGTTGAGCTGTAGCTGATTGTATGACAGGGGCCCGCCCCCTCAGCATGCTGCTACCGACGTCCCGCATGTTGTCACGTCCAGCGCCGGCTCCAGACGTTTTCTGGCGATTCCCAGGCAGCGACTCTAAACATAAATCATTATTCACTATTTTCATGGGTTTGCATTTTATAAATACTGCCAAGTGTCAGTTTTTGTTCCACGGAAGTATCTCTGCTACCCTCTCTCTGGGTATCCTTGCTACAAATATCCAGAAAGCATCCTCCATTCTCAGGGGGCTGCGCCTGATAGATGAACTGACAAAAACTCCCACAGGCATACGATATTATTGTTATTATTATTAAGGATGCTGTACAGTTATGACAGGGGAATACGACGAGATGTAGTGCATTTTATTTTTTATTTAACGTATGGCTACATCACAGTTGAGTTTTGTGTATAAACAAAGAGGATAATACATTAGAAAAGTAAATAACAATATTTAATTTTTTCAAACATACATTTAATTAGTTTTAGCGACGGTATTTTTCCCACCTGAAAAGTGAGTCTAAGCACCTGCCACAGTTCTTGCTTTGTTCAGCGTGACCCAAATTCGTCTTGGTTGGTCGAAAATCTCTGGCTTACTTGTCATACATGGCATATTCCGGATGGCGGGCGGTGAATTTTTCTCGCCAAAGGTCGGTTATTTTGAAGTTCGTTTCAATTACAATTCTTGCGGAGTAATTTTTCTTAAGCGAAGCCTACTTATGTCTCTATTTAATGTCTTATGTCTTATTTTTTTGTAACTTCTGTTGAAAAATTGGATTATACTGTTTAATGTTCTATTATAACCAAACTTTTTACGCCCATCACTTGAAAGAGTTTTTTTTTCTGTAATTGTTGATTTTTGTTGCACCTTTCTGTGTCCAGTAATAATCGAGAAAAGCGTGTTCCAACTTTCAAGAAAATTGCTAAAAAATACTAAAATCTAATAGTGAAACGTGTTACTTATCATTCGCGCTTACTTTCAACGTTAACGCTTTCGTGACGTCAAATGTCATGAACGTACGGTCAGTTAGTTCGTGTTAAAACTAATTTGAATGGAGAATAATCAATGACGTATAATATATAGACTCGGTGAACGCTTTAAAAAGTGTCCAAAACATGAATACCTTTGTTATTGTTTATTGTTTTGATACGAAGATACACGAAGTTCATGATTTCTTACGAAGCATCACGAAGTTGATCTTGTGTTTGAAAACATCATGGACGTATGAAAGCATTTTCTCCATTTTGTGTGACAAGCAAATTTTATTTTAAATTGTTGAGAGTTATTTACTTACTATTTTAGTAAAATGCCATACTATTTTATCAAAATAATTATTTCTCTTATAGATGGGACAAAAAGAAATCATAAATATTTAATTTTAATTAAAAAAATAATTATTGTCATTAAAATATAAATGAACACGCCGCTGTTCTAATAAACATACCTTCAACCTTGAGCCGAGATCTTTCGGACACTCGATTCTATAGCGAGAATAGGGACTGCGTAGTCTATATATTATACGTCATTGAGAATAATACATTTGTTGTCATTAAACTACCCGTCGGCCGGCGCCACTGAGTAAAGATGGTCTGTCGTAAGCAGTGTAGAAAAGTAAGTGATGCGCCCATTTCGCAGTGAGCTTGAACTGCTAAAACGTCCTTAATTTTTCGTTACTCCCTGACAATGGCATGTTCTCGACGAGCGTGTGAGGGGGCTATAGGGCTATACTGCCCAGCGAGTATATTGGCCTGGCCTTGATTATGCTTGATATAATACGCAAAGCCTGGTTTAGTTGAGCGTTAACACGTTTGGTTTACGGACGTTTGAACCATACCGATGCACAGTACTCCGCAACGGAATACACGAGTAATAGTGCTGTCGATCTAAGTTTGGTCGCTGAGAAACAAAATAGACAGATCACCAAAACGATGGTACAGTTGAAGCTTAGCGTCACAGGAAGAGCTCAGAAAAAGGTTAAACCGTTGATTGAATAACCCATCAATCAACGCTTAAACATAACGAAACATGTTTACAAGTATTTGGAGTCATTGGTTTACTCTTAAGATGTTTAAATAGTGTGGATCTACTTTATACTATTCCGACATTTGTTTTTGGTAGCTTTTTCTGGAAAACTGTGTATACATAATGATCTTGACCTGTCTTTCAAATGTTTAAATATGATAGGTGTATGCCGGACAGAATATTTGTAATTTTGCACTTTCTTAAAAACGTTTTACCGAAATAAACAGTCAAAAGTACAATTCTGTTTTTCTAATCCGTTTTTTTTTTTCAGAAAAAAGCAAAGGCTAGAGATCTGTATGAACAAGTTTTCTACTCATTGGATCTGATAGAAAAAGACTACTTTGGACTACAATTTACGGATGCTAACCACGTTAAACATTGGCTGGATCCAACGAAAAGTATTAAAAAACAAATTAAAAGTAAGCTTTTATCTTTCGCTTTCTTTTTTTTATCTATAGGAACCATTACAAAGGCTGCCAATTTTAACCATAAAATAGTACCCTACAAAACCGCTTCTTTATCTACAAACACCTAATTATGGCTCACTCAAAAATCTTGATTCTCTTTTAAGGTTGTTGAAATGACACAAACGGATTTCTTTTTTTTTAATCTCCCAGAAAGCACTTGTAGAGATCAAGATCAATATATTGCAGTGTGAAAATAAAAGTAAGAAGAGTATCAGAAATAGTACTTTTATTAGAAACAGGGAATACAACAGACCTTTATACCTTTATTTCCACAAATGACACAATTTAATGTAGTCCTATCAAAATATGCATTCGGGACGATTTCCTAAACGCCAACACCGACCAGTCCTTTTCAAGATGGGCATACAGATTCCCTAAGTAAAATTATTCCGAATAACAAGATGAAATTTCCGATGAAATTTCCACACAATCAGACTTTGCAGCAGAACTTAGAATAATCCGTCACCCTAATATGTACTTGCTTTTCAAAAAGATCCAAAATTTAACATTTAAATTACTATGGATGAAACGTGGGTACATTTTTCTACCCGGAATCAAAGCAGGAATCAGTGTAATTGAGACACTCTGGTTTCAGGAAGGCCTAAGAAATTTCGAGTTCCAAAATCTAATGTAAAAGTTCTTGCTGCAATTTTTAGAGATTGGTCTGATTACCAAGTTACTGACTACTTTACAAAAAAAAAAAATATGCATTATATACGCAGGGAGTTGTCCAAAGGTATTTAATTTTTGCATGATAATGTCTCTGTATACCAATGGCGTGTTACTATGAAAACAAATCGTGAATTATAGTTCCAATTACTCCTTATTCACCAGATCTGGCTCTGTCCAACTACTATCACTTTTCTCAACTGAAAAAAGTCTTAAATGTATTTTTTTCCAATGAAGAGGTGATGGAAGATAAAAAAAAATGTTTTGAACAATTTAGAGGACGTTTCAGTTTTGTTATACTAAATGTATCCAATATAGAGGAGATTACCTATGTTGAATAATAAAATATTTTGATTGTTTGGAATATTGGATACATCAGCTCGATATTCAAGAAAGGGGATAAACGCAAATGCTCTAATTATAGGGAAATAACTGTTATCAGTTCAGTGAGGAGGTTGTACGGTCGAATGATAAAAAAGAATAGAATCAGAATACGAAGAGGTATGAGAACAAAATGGATTTCGTGCAGGTCTATTGCATGTCGTGATGGTCTATTCGTTCTGCAGCAGGTAATCGGAAAACGGAAGGGAATCTATCTACCCACCTATTGTTTGTAGATTTAGAGAAGGCATACGATACGATACCTTTGAAAAAACTGTTTCAAACATTGACGAAAGTAGGTCTTAGTAAAGAGTATGTGGATGCTATCGCAAATATATACAAAAATCCAAGAAGTGTCGTTAAAGACAGAAACTTTATATCTGAATCATTTCCAATAACAAAGGGGCTTAAACAAGGATGTTGTCTATCTCCGACCTTATTTAAAATATATATTCAATCATCGCTAGAGCAGTGGAGGAAACAAATATCCGGAATGGGAATTGATATAGGCGATGGTAAATGTCTAACAACTTTATTTTTCGCAGATAATCAGGCAGTCCTAGCGAATGATGAGGAAGACATGGACTACATGTTTAAGAAACACTAAAGAAAGAATATGAACAATGGGTCCTCAATATGAATATGTCAAAGACAGAGTATCTTAAAATAGAAGATGATAAAGAAGATCCAGAATTAGAAATTAGAAACACAAAAACATGCAAGGAATATAAATATCTCGAATCTATAATATCTAAAGAAGGCACTACCAAAAGAGACATCGAAAACAGAACGCAGCAGGGAAAAAAGCGGTTAACATTCTAAACTCTCTACTATGGTCTAAAGATATTAAACAAGAAACGAAATTCACAAGCTATCGAAACTTGGTAGAGCCTATTATGACTTATGGGGCAGAAGTTTGGCAGATTACGAAAAATAGAAAAATAATAGAAGTAGTAGAAATGGATTTTCTAAGGAGAGCGTGTGGTGTATCCAAACAAGATCATATCAGGAATGAAGATATTAGAAGGAGGACAAATACTGTATATTCCAGTGTAGACAGAATTGAAACGAGACAACTAGTGTGGTATGGTCACGTGAAGCGAATGAATGAAGATAAATCGCCAAAGAAAGCTTTAAATTACATACCACAACAAAGAAGAAGAAGGGGAAGGCCTTCAGTTGCCTGGGAAGAAAATGTACGACACATAATGAGAGATAGAGCCATCAAAGAAGACGAATGGATGGACAGAAAACGATGGCGGTCGAAATGCGAGAGGCGGCAGAGGCTGTAGGAAGCTCGCTTATATATATTTTGTTTGCTTCTATAATAGGCTAAGAAATTTTCAATACATCCTCGTGTAATTTACATACAGTGCAAATTGTGGTCAATATGTATCTGCAGCCTAATGTTTAAGGGTGGATGATATGAAGAAGATGATGGCTAATTGGAAAACAGAACCACAATAGGGTCTATAAGTATTTGCAATATAATGGATCCATATCGTTCTATACATTATAAGTTTTTATATATACCGTAGATTTTCTTAAAATGAAAATTCGAGGAGAGGATTCTTGGGAGTTTAAAATCAGATGAGGTCTCAGACAAAGACAACTCCTATTCTACATTATATTTAATTTAATATAAATATAAAACGATAGAACTCCTTTTCTATAATGACATCGATATACTCAATAGGAGAGAACAGAATCTGAGTGATAATTTGACTGTCTTCGCCGAAGAATCTAAACACACTAAATTTTTTTAAATAGTTGAGATTAATTACTATTTAACTGGGAATAAGCCACAATTAAAGATAAAAATACGTTTATTGACGTTTCAATTTCCACTTCGGAAATCGTTCTCAAATACAAACAGTAAATTAAACAAATTTTGTTTTTTGTTACATACTGAAAAATTCTTCTAATATTTTAATTTTATCTGACTCATTTATATTGGCAATTCAGACATACATTATGCATTTTAAAGTAGAAGACTTTAAAATGATATTGCCAATATTGTTGAGTTGCGCTCCTGGGACGACTTTACTTATAAGATAGTTCATTCGATTACATGAAATCAACTTTAACTTGAGAATATCCGTCAGAAAAAAAATCATAGCATGTAATTCGTCTTTAAAAAGACAAACACATGACATGATGACAGTAAAATTCTCCTGTTAGTGATTCCATAGTAAATTATGAGGGAAAAACCAGGAAAAAAAACCTCATAATACTATCCCGACATTGTAAGTATTTGTTTGTGAATTTAGTTTACCTTCAACAAACATCAAAATTCTGATTTTATATGTTACGTTATTTAAAAAACATAAATGATGTATCCTCTATATGTTACTGACTTACTAATACTGGTATTTTCTTATTAATAACTTTCTCTTTCAATATTGGTAACCAGATCCTACTACATTCTGCCGAAGAATTTGCGACACAATTGGCCTCATTTAGCATAATTAGAGCCGCTTCTTTGATTTTTCTTTTTTTACCATCCGTTTCTTTTAGGACTACATTTGAATTATTCCATTGAACCCTATGTTCATTATCCCATGCGTGTTTACATATTTGAGATCTATCAAATTCTCTATTTTTAATACTTATTCTAACATTTAATGGCCTTGGCGATTCACCTAAATAAAACTGATCGCATTCACAAGGTATTTTATAAATGCAATTCTTTGTCCTTTCGTGTTCATTGTTAGGTTTGGTTTTGAACAAAATAGATCTCAACGTGTTTGTTGTTTTGAATGTTGTTGAAATGTTGAATTTATTTCCTATCCTTTTAAGTTTTTTTGATAATCCTTTTATGTACGGTATTGTTATTTTGCTCATATTATTCCTTGTGTATGCTGTAGGATCTCGTTCTAAGTTGTTCTGTTCTATTCGATCGATTGTTGAAAATTCCTTGTTTATAAATAAGGAATTTTCATATTGAAAGAGAAAGTTATTAATAAGAAAATACCAGTATTAGTAAGTCAGTAACATATAGAGGATACATCATTTATGTTTTTTAAATAACGTAACATATAAAATTAGAATTTTGATGTTTGTTGAAGGTAAACTAAATTCACAAACAAATACTTACAATGTCGGGATAGTATTATGAGGTTTTTTTCCTGGTTTTTCCCTCATAATTTACTATGGTATCACTAACAGGAGAATTTTACTGTCATCATGTCATGTGTTTGTCTTTTTAAAGACGAATTACATGCTATGATTTTTTTCTGACGGATATTCTCAAGTTAAAGTTGATTTCATGTAATCGAATGAACTATCTTATAAGTAAAGTCGTCCCAGGAGCGCAACTCAACAATATTGGCAATATCATTTTAAAGTCGTCTACTTTAAAATGCATAATGTATGTCTGAATTGTCAATATAAATGAGTCAGATAAAATTAAATTATTAGAAGAATTTTTCACTATCTAACAAAAAACAAAATTTGTTTAATTTACTGTTTGTATTTTGAGAACGATTTCCGAAGTGGAAATTGAAACGTCAATAAACGTATTTTTATCTTTAATTGTTACTTATTCCCAGGTAAATAGTAATTAATTTACAATGCCACAAGAAAATAGCTTCAGAACAATAGTTGAGATTAAGAAAAACCGATTTAAATTCCAATCGATTTTCGACTGTGGGAATGATCAAAGCAGGTAACACAGCATATTATGCTGTTTAATATTTGATCACCTCACGCTTACTTAGCCGAAAAATTAAAAAAGAGTTAGTGGTCTTCTGGCGTTAGTCTAAATAAATAACACTGGCGATCTTTTGCATGTCGCAAAAGACGGACGTATGGTCTTAAGATAATTCGCCAACGCACTATAGGTGCACGGCACTATAAGAAGAAGAAATGGTCTTCTATCTATGCCAGTGAAACAGATATTTAGTAAATGAAATTAAGCAACACCAAATTGCTGGATGAGGGTAACAGGCAAAGACTTATTAATGCCGAAGTTAATTTTATGTGGCAGAGTTGAAAAGAGTTAGAATGAAATGGCTAGGACCATGGACGTATAAACATGGATGGACACAGCAATAAGATACCTTTAACACACAATGTTTTGAAGCTTCGATAGAATATGATGCTTCCGCGATGAGCATAAGTGTGCTTGAATTTTTACTCGCGGGTAATTATTCAGATTTTAAAAATTGGAAGTAGTAATAATGTATAAAAACACGTTCAAAGAATTAAAAAAAAGAAAGTTTAACTATTAACAAATCACGTCTTTATAGAAAAATTAAAATACAATTTTATTTGCTTTAAAATTAATACAATTAAATATAGTTGAATTCAAGTTAATTTATTAATAGTATAAAAATAATGCTACAATAAAAAATCTTTATGTTTTCTCCTTAATTTGCTACCCAAATAGTTCGATCGTCAATATTATTTGGAAACCTACATAGAAAAATAAATGAGTTTTATTCATTTCACTAATTTATTTGTATCCATGAGAAATATTAAATTAAAAAGGTACTAAACAGATCTTTTTTAATCAGATGATGTCTACTTACAATTTATAAATGTCTACAATTTTAATGAACTCATATCTTATTCAATACATTAATGAACATGAATAAACCCAATGGTACGCCTATTAAAATGTAAACAAACACGCTTCCTCAATTCCTCATCTTAAATAATGTAAATTGTATGTACTTACAAATGAAATGAGAGATCGGGATGTAAATATTTCGTTTATTTTATTTCACTTTTCACAAATATCACTCAAAATACAGCCAAAATATCGAAAAATAACTTTTTCCTCATTTACTCTAAAAAGTAAACAAACATGGAACAGCATTAGAAGTTTGACGTAGATCCATAAGACAGAGAAATGTAAACAACCGTTGCCATTTATAAATAGTTTTCAGTGCTTCTACATATAAAATAGTTGATTGATATCTATTATACGCTATTATTAAATGATAATGCACACTATGTGCACACTTGATATTTTGATTACAATTAAATATATTAATATAACCAATAAATTATTATTTTATTTTGATAGCACCTGTAGAGTATAAAATACGGAGTAATATTTTCAGCGACTCGCGAATAAGAAATTTTAAAACAAGACGTGACAACAGTTGAAGGTGCTCAGAATGTGACCTATTCAAATAATTTAGACTTCACAATTTTATGTAAATAACTGAGTCCATCTGTGTTTATACGTCCATGGCTAGGACATTCGGAGTGCATGCCAGTAGACAGGTGTGCATATCTGGAGTATATCAACAAATAGTAGAAGGAATACCTTAACAAGATAGACCAAGAACTAAATGATGATGTAGAAAACGTTCTCGCCTAGCTAAGCATAAGATGGTAATGACACAGATTATTGGAAGACTATGATGAGATTTACCAAAATGTTAACTTTTTCTAATATTTTGTAATAATAATAGTCTCCCGTTTTATACCGCACGCGGCTTTGGGAGTATAGCAGGGTAGTCTGCTATATCTAGGGCCTACGGTATACAAGGAAGGTAACATGGCCAGTGCTACGCTTCAACCGCCTATTATTACCCCTGGTTTTACCCAAGGTACTCATTTTATTCAGGCTGAGTCGACCTGGGGCCTATAGACATTTTTAAAAATGCCTAGTTGTTCTTGCCGGCGGTAGGATTCGAACTCACGACCACTAATATTTTGTAAACTACTTTATTTTTACTACTATTTAAACATATTTTATTTTTAGTTGGTCCCCCATACACTTTAAGACTCAAAGTTAAATTTTACTCATCCGAACCTAACAATCTCCGTGAGGAATTGACTAGATACCAGTTTTTCCTGCAACTGAAGCAAGATCTTCTAGAAGGAAAATTGGAATGTCCCGAAAAGACTGCTGTTAAATTAGCTGCTCTAGCTTTACAGTGTAAGTACATGTTTACCAAGATGATCGTCAGTTGTTTCGGTTCCAGGATATTTTCTGTTTGTAACTATATACACGAGTTAAAATTTGTTCCACGTTTTGGTTAGGCTAGAGCCATTTTAATAGAAATCTGCCATTTCGTCGTTGTGCTTAAGAGCCAACGAACTCTGGTGCCGATTCGTCAAATCGAGCATCCCGTTTTATTTTGTATGTTATTATGTTATTACCATAGACAGTTATGATGAGTGGTTTTTGGTTTATGATGAATAGTTTGAAAATGCTACTGTTGTTCCAACCTGATTGTTGTTTGCCCTAAACGAAAACTTTTCCTGTTTTCGCTCTTCGTGGGGGTATTGTAGCATTTGCAATTCATTGATTTTTTAAAATATATTAAAATCCCCTCGTATCTGTAATATATTGAAATCTCCTCATATATTTTTAAAAAATAAAACGAAGAATTTTTTCCATGTTTGGTAGTTTGTATCTTTCAAGTTAAAATACCCAAAAGTGTTTTCAATAATTTTATTTGCATTGCTGGATGTTAATATAAACCATTTTAGAGTTGTTTATTATTTTAAAGTTGTGTACTTTCTCGGCATTTTCTTTTAATGTTTTATTCGAAGTCGCCTTATAATTTTTATACGTCGTAGAAATGGAATCTTTTACGTTTTAATTTTCGTTGTGTTTTGTTATTTCAGCGTTTGTTTATTTTCAAGTTAGGTGAACGAATTCTTGAGAGAATTTCGTCATTCTTACTTGGGTCGTCGTAGTCTCAGGTATGGATCTAAATTCTTACTTGGGTCGCGGTAATCTCAGGTGTGGATCAATTCTTACTTGGGTCGCTGTAGGCTCAGTATGAATCCAAATTCACCGTCGAATTTGTAGTTTTCTGTTTTGGCCCCTTTTTGTGGAAATGTGTTGCAGTGGAAAATAAATTGTTTAGTATACCAGAACATGATAGAATTTTGAAGCAGTATATAGGATGTCCCACCAGCTTTGTTGTCGTTTGCCTGCTTGATCCAGCCCCATCTATGTCAGATCTTCGTTCCTGAGTATGGAAATGGTTTCCTTTTGTTCCAGTTGAGAGTTTCGTCCTTGCAGCTCCAATCCCAGAGATAGTAGCAAGTTTTTCAAAGTTAAGTGGCAAAGTTTGTGAATTAAAAGGTAACGTTATGTGTTCATAGTAAAATAGCTTTTATTTTAAATAAAACTATTTTAAATAATTGCTTTCATTGAAATTTAAAGGTTTTATGATAATTAATCAATTATAAAATTTTAGAGTTTGACTTTAGCTGTCAATTTGTGTTTTCACTTTTTTTTTTAATTTTTTTGTTAACTTATGACAGCACGTTTTATTATTTTTTTTTAATTTATTTTATTTTTAAAGAAGGTTAACGTCTATGCTATTTTGAAAGATTTTGTAGCAATCTTCTTTGTAAACAGATGAACATGTAAGTTTTTTTGTATTTTTGTATTTTGCGACTATTGTGATAATATTTTTGTATTGTCTTTTTTGAGTATTCGTGTATTCTCTATGTTTTGTAACTGTTTGTGGTAAGACACAATGTTAAATTCTGTTTATTTTTTTAACTAACCCTTTTTTGAGTTTTATTTGAAAAAGACATGTTTTTTATGTTTAATAATTATTTCCCTAGTTACAACTACAGTTGATTCAAATTCGACGTGCAGTAAAAGTAAACAAAACCAGGCTATGCTACGTAAGACTCCATAGGCGTGCGGTTTTGCTTTTATATTTCCTATTTCCTATGAAATTAATAAAATAGTATGTACAATTAAAGATTTGTTTACTATGAACAAAGAAGATAAAATATACAATGTTAGTATTATTTTCAAGGAAATTCAAAATAAACGTCCCTACTGGAAAATAAAAAGAAACTTATGGTTTGACAAAAATAATAAAGCAGTAATTGCAACGTTGTTTTGACACTCAAATGATCGAAATCGAAACATCAAATACACTTATTTTTTAAGGTAAATTGTGTGTTAGTTCGAATCAAAAGTAGTAACTTATTATTATGTTTTCAGTTTTTATTTGGAAAACAATAAAATTCACTTGTAATTGTACATATTGTTTTAATAATTTAATACGAAAGCAAAACCGTATGCCAAATTTTGATTGATTGACAAAGAAGGCTTCTGGCTGAGTACAAAATAAACAACTGATTAAATCCTATCACGCGATATAGAAAATGAAAGGGGAGCTATAACGATTACTTAAGGAAAGAAAAAACAAACAGGGCGACCCAAAAGGGCACTACAAATCATCTTCGTTATTAATGGATGTATACTTTCATACGAGATATCATAGTGCACTACGGATTAAAAAGCGTCTGACTGAGTACAAGATAAACAACTGATCGAATCCTCACATGCGACATAGTAAATGAAAGGGAAGGATATAACAAATATATTAAGATAGAAAATCAATTACATATCTTAATAGATTCGTTATATCGTCCCTTTTCATTTGCTATGTCGCATGTTAGGATTCGATCAGTTGTTTATTTTTTAGTCAACCAGAGGCCTTCTTGAAGTCAATAAATGAAAATTTGTTTTATAGTAAATTTATTTTCATCCATAGTGCCCTATGATATCTCGTATGTAACTATACGTCCATTAATAACAAACATGCTGTGTAGTGCCCTTTTGGTAGTCGTCTTGTTTGTTTTGTCTATCGTAATATAATCTTTATCCCCTTACCTTTCATTTTCTATGCTGAATGTTAGCATTCAATCAGTTGTTTATTTTGAACTCAGTCAGTGGCCTTCCTTGATTCAATAAATCAAAAATTTGTCTTATAGTAAATCTATTTTCATCCATAGCGTAATATGATATCTCGTATGTAACTATACGGATATTAATAACGAAGATGCTGTGTAGTGCCGTTTTGGTAGTCATGTTGTTTGTTTTGTCTATCTTAATATAATCGTTATCCCCTCTCCTTTCATTTTCTATGTTGCATGTTAGGATTCAATCAGTTGTTTATTTTGAACTCAACCAGAGGCCTTGCTTGAGTCAATAATCACTTTAAATATAATGACTATAAATCATACGGTCGGCCGCAACTTATGCTACGATGTCTACTTCATATTTTCATATGTATTACATAATACAGGAAAATATAGGTTTATACATCGTTAAAATCATGATTTGAGAGTGCCCCTCGTAACATTCATACTGTTGACGATTTATTTATACTTACTGCAGCTCTATCTTGTATTTAGTGTAGAAATGTTTAGAAAGGTTTTCGAAGCCCCGCCCATTGTGACTTCAGAGGTGAGGTAGTCCATTAATAATACACAACTGACCGTTTCCAGTAAACAGACTCGAGTTTCAAAAACTCGTGACTCGAAAAACAAAACGAACTGTTTCAAAACACGCCAGTCTTTAAAAAGTTTGTGAAAAGTTGCTATTTTGTTTTATTGGACACGAGTTTGTGTTTTGTTTTTATTTTGTCCGTTTGGTGGGAAACCGCCATTAGATATTACATTTAATTTTAAAACAATTTTTACATATTTAATTTAATTTTATTAATTCAATGCATTACAATAACGAATTCACATTATTATGTTGGAAAACCTTATTGTAACATTTATTAATTTGATTTTATCTTTGTTATTCTTCTGATCATAAAATATAAATGATAACATTTATTATAACTATAAATGAATAAATTCAAGCACTATAATTCCCTGACACACGCCCTGGCTAAAATATTATCACTAGAACAACAGTGGTCCAACTAAGTTATAGCAATTCTTCCGCGTACAAGGACTACTAAATGATATGGTATGCTGTTAATACTTGAGTTTCGTATACGATGTCTATTTATATAGTTTATGAGGTGGATATTATGTACGTTTATACATTGTAAATCATGATTTGGGATTGCTCCTCGTAATATTCATAATGTTGATAATCTGTCTTGGTTTGTTTACTGCTACTGCATCTTTAAGTTAAATTTGGTTTAGTGGTTGTAATAGGTATAATTAGGCACCTCAAAGCGACGCCCTATATTAAATTACTAGAGGTGTTTCCTGTTTCTTTTTGCTTTGTTTGTTCCAAGAAATTCATGATCTTTTGTTTCATATTTTTGTAGTTGTCCCATTTCACCCCCTTTATCTTTTACTTATCCACGACCCCAGCTCTCCTAACAAACTCTGAGTGCCGTTCGCACAAGTAGCGATTATTTTGCTTGCCTTATCTCCACCCCCTTAGTTTCAGTCCCCAATTTTCTACCCCTTGTATTAATACTCCCTGTGGTAGGTAAAATATCCTTCGTTACAATCTCGATGGGATAAGCTAAAACATATTTGAAAATCATACAGAAACATAAATGTAGGATAAAGATCTTTCTGGTTACAGTATATAAAGATGGGCAAAGAAAAAAATTTGTGAAGAATTTGAAAGAAGATTAATTTTTATTTTGTCTTTCACGTTTAAAAATATGTGATTTAGGTTCTAATACGAATTTAACAAATTAATATATATTTTTAATTTTTAGCTGAACTTGGTGATTATGATGAAACACAACATACTCCTGCAACTGTTTCGGAGTTCAGGTTTGTTCCGAACCAGACGGAAGAAATGGAAATAGAAATTCTGGAAGAATTTAAAAAGTGTAAGGGCCTGACACCGGCTAATGCTGAGCAAAGCTATTTAAACGAAGTAAAATGGTTAGAAATGTATGGTGTAGATATGCATACAGTTTTGGTAAGTTAACACTTTATTTTTACACCTCACTCTCCTTAATATTTTCGTAATAAATTCTAAGTGGTAGTAATTATTCTTAATTCTACATCTTTCAATAAACCTAAACCATTAGAATGATGGGAAAACGAACTATTGGAAGAAGACGCATCTCCTGGCTCAACAATCTGAGAAAGTGGTATAATTGCAGTTCCATCGACTTGTTCAGAGCTGCAATCTCAATAGTGAAAATAACTGTGATGATTACCAACCTCCTTAGAGGAAACGGTACCAAAAGAAGAAGCAGATTATAATGATCGGAAAGTCTTCCTCTTCAAAATTTTAAACAGTAATATTACTTAAGGAATATTGTTGAATGATCAGTCTAAGCAAAAACGAATATCTTATTAAGTTCATTGCAAAATTTACGTCGACAAAATTATTACAGTCCAAGAACTACCTGCGATCTCCAATTAACTGTAAAGATAATTTATTTTATAATTTTGATACCATATGTATGATCTCCCCTGTTTACTTCTTTATCGCTAAGTAACAAAAAAAGTTAAATGAATAGGGAATTTTGCTATTTAACCTTGGTAATTTTTCAAGTACTCAAACAAAACCATTATTCTTTTCTATGTAATTTAGGAATTGATCCTCAATGCACAATTATTTGTTATTTTTCTTTTTTGTTTTATCCATCCCATATATTCTTATGAAATTTTACTTTTTTCGTTTTTATATGAAGGTAATCATCCATAATTATTGTAACATTAGATCTATTTTTTTACTGTTGTTCTGAAGCTATTTTCTTGTGGCATTGTAAATTAATTACTATTAAACTGGGAATAAGCCACAATTAAAGATAAAAATTCGTTTATTGACGTTTCAATTTCCACTTCGGAAATTTACTGTTTGTATTTTGAGAACGATTTCCACGAAGTGGAAATTGAAACGTCAATAAACGTATTTTTATCTTTAATTGTGGCTTATTCCCAGTTTAATAGTAATTATTTTTTTTACATTTCAAAAGCCATTTTTAAATTACATACAAGCTTTTCAAAATTCTACAAACTACCAACCTAATTTTGAGATAACAAATATAACACTGGTTAGATTAGCTGGTAACAAACATGTTTCTTTTATGTTCGTATACTTTGATAACATTAATTTCCATCAATAACAGCCGATTCTGTAAATACCAACATGTAGTTTGGTCTGTATTGTTAGCATGATACTGACGTGGTCCTCGTCTAAAGCTATCTTAACAATCCGAAAGAGTATAAAAATATACCTATACTGATTTTGTTCTTAGGGTAAGGACAGTATGGAATACAGATTAGGATTGACACCAACGGGAATACTGGTATTTGAAGAGCCAAATCAAAAAATAGGCCTGTTCTTTTGGCCTAAAATTGGAAAACTAAATTTTAAGAAGAAAAAGTTAACGCTGGTAGTAGTGGAAGACGATGATCAAGGCAGGGAACAAGAACACACGTTTGTATTCAGGTAAGACAGGTATATAATTTTTAACTCATACAAAAACCCATGAGAACGGTGCCAGTATGGTGCTTTCTGTGAATTTTCTTATATTCAATTTAAAAGATACAGTTACATATAAATTACAGTGACTTAATACTATTGTGAATTATCTCCTTTCTACAATACAAGTAGCGAGCCAGATGTTGGAACTAGCTAAGTATGTAGATTTGGATTGAATAATCTGTGACGTCCTCTCGTAGGAGTCACTATCCGGGTAGCTTTTGGACAGTCAGAGACAGAGTTCAAAATAAAAATAAAACTTTATTGTCTTCCTTAAATTAAATTGACAAAAATCTTATGTACATATTTACAATTTGGTTTAGTCTTCTCAGTACCTGGCCTATTTATTCAAATTAAGTTTGACCTTGTCATATGAAATTAGTCTTATCGGCAAGCGAGTGTGTATTTGAAATTTTACGTGAACGTTGTATCGATTTAATAACAGCGGACGATAGGTACAAAGAAAGGAAAGGAACTCAACACGTTCCTTAAGTGATTCGGGTTAATAGGACACTCCTCGACAGTCTCAACACGACTGCTTCAGAGTACGGATAGTGAAGAGCTCAACACGCTCTTCGGGTAACGGCGGTATGGAACGGAACAACTTGTGAACTCAACACGTTCACAAGCCGGGGTAGGGAAGAAGAGAACCTTCAGTCAACACCTGTCGATTCTGCCTCTATGAGGAAATGTTGCGGTTTATATAGCGGAGATTGGTAATTAGTTTTGCCCTTTCTACTGTCGATACACTCCTACTTCATGGGTTGGTTCGCGCGCACGCTGGTTTAACGGTGATGGCTTGGACTCATCGTTACAAATCTTTCTTCAAAACAATAACTTGAAGTGGTAATAATAACGCTGGATGAATTTAAAAGTTCTTTATTTTACGTTGCACGGTTACAAAAGATATTTATTACACATGTATTTAACTATAACTATATACAGTAGAACTCCAATTATCCGGATCGCCAATTGTATAGGCGCCACGTCCTGAGCGAAATAAATATTTATGCAGGAACTTGACCCTTCTAACTGCGAACACACTGTAGTGTAGCGATAGCAACGGGCTGTAGGGAGGGGGAGCGATGACTGACGCTCGCGACACCTGCTAGTAATTCGTTTAGTGCTTCTTCAACCTGCAGTAGAGTGAATTAATGTGTTGACTTGTCCGTGTTCCTTAGTGTTTTGATTATTGTGTTCAGTGAACCACGATGAGTTCTAAGAGGAAACGTGTGGTATTATCGTTGGTCGATAAAATTAAAATTATCGAACAGTTGGACAAAGGTGTATCAGGTAAACATTTAGCCGAGGTGTACAACGTGGGAACGTCAAAAGTATCTGACATTAAAAAAAATAAATTCTCTATTGTAAACTTTGTATCCGTCCTCGAGAATGAAGACGGAAGTTCATCGAGAAAGAGTATGAAAACAGCTGAAAATAAAGAACTGGAAGAAGTGGTGTTTAAGTGGTTCTTGCAGCAGCGAACATTGGGGAGCCCTCTTTCAGGCCCTATTATTTGTGAAAAAGCTATGCTTTTTGCCGAGAATATGGACAGTGTGGGTTCATTTAAAGCGAGTAGTGGGTGGCTACGTAATTTTAAAGCCAGGCACGGAATCCGAGAGTTGGACTCAAGTGGAGAGAAGCTTTCAGCTGACCCTAAAGCTGCTGAAAACTTCATTGAAACTTTTAAAGTTGAGTTAGATTCTTATGACCCTGAGTTTGTATACAATGCTGATGAAACGGGCCTAAACTGGAAAGCCTTGCCAAAAACTACATTGGTTTCAAAAATAGAATCAAGTGCTCCTGGTCACAAAGTAAGCAATGATCGCGTGACTACCCTTAATTGTGTCAACGCAACCGGAAATCATAGATTACCCCTACTCATGATAGGAAAATCCAAAAATCCCAGGGCATTCAAGAATGTAAAAAAACTTCCCGTGGTCTATAAAAACCAAAAAAAAGGCTTGGATGACTGCTACTTTATTTACAGAGTGGTTTGATGAAGTGTTCATACCTGAAGTCAAAAAACATCAAAAGACGTTGGGAAAAGAAGGCAGCAATGTGCTGTTACTTCTTGATAATGCACCCACCCACCCCCCTGAAAACCTGCTAGAAAGAGAAGATGGAAGATTTCGAGCAATGTTTTTGCCACCAAACGTAACGAGTTTGTTGCAGCCGATGGATCAGTCGGTTATTGAAACAATGAAGCGTCATTACAGGAGACAATTGATTAGAAAACTGTTGATAGAAAATGAAAATGAAGAAGGCATTGTCGCTCATCACAAAAAATTAATTTAAAAGATTGCTCGTATATGGTGGCGGAAACGTGGAGTATGGTTACGGCGACAACATTAAGAAGGGCTTGGAATAAATTGAAAGGAATTTCAACAAAGGAGGAGCTGCAGAAAGAGAGGGAAGAGAATCAGCGCCAAAAAGAATAGAAAGAGAGACGGGAGGAAAATGACGAGGTAACGGTTGAAGAAATCAGAGATATCATCGTAAACATTCCCGGATTTTCCGAGTGCAGTGCAGAGGATGTAGAGGAGTGGTTGTTAAGTGATTCTACGGATCCCGGATTCCAGATTCTCGATGATAATGAACTCGTCCAAAGTGTTGTGACAGCAGGAAGAGATGATCCGGAACCGGAAGACGAGGACTTCGCTACCGAGCTAGACGAGGGGCCGACTGCGAGTGAGGCATTTGTAGGGCTAGACACCGCGCTTAAATGGATGGAGCGGCAACCAGAGTGTGACCACCTGCAACTCCTTACAGTCAAAAGAATGCGAGACTTGGCGGCGCGGAAACGATTCAAGTCAGCAAAACAACTGACTCTGCCTGATATGTTAAAAAAATAATTAATTTTGTCATTTACATATTGTTGTGTATACTGCATTGTTTTCCATAATAAATACCGTATATGTTCTCCATTGTGCTTTGATGTAATTACGTTTCTTTCCCGGGAAAGGCCTTTTTCGAGAAAAATCCAATTATCCGGATTTTTGACTATCCAGATCGGGTACGGTCCCAATTAATCCGGATAATTGGAGTTCCACTGTATACATATATATATATATATATATATATATATATATATATATATATATATATATATATATATATATATATATATATATATATATATCGGAAAAAGGAGTACGACCGTCAAATTCCAATATATAAAAGGATCACTCAACAGAGTGGTGGGCTCTTATATCGGTCAATTTGTAGGTGGAGAAATGAAAGACAAAGTTGATGTGCCACTCTATCTATTTTGAAAACGTTTCGCTTTCGTATTCTGAAAGCATCATCAGTTCATTCTAAAAAGTATAATATAAGAACCACACAATCATGGAAAAGATGTTACAGGTGTTACCTTAAAAAGACATGTAGCAGTCAAAGATGTTAACAAGCTTATGAATTAAACTTGAATAAATGGACAATATAAAGTAGAAATGTATAAACATTTAATTTACTAACAACATTTAGTGACTTATTAAAAAATTAGCACAGTGAGTGACCATGTGGTCAGAAGTATAAAAAATATATATTAAATTATAACGTAGTTGATGCAAAGAACTAAGAAAATCAACGATTAACTTCCAACAATAGATAATTATTAAATTTTAATTTTAACTTTTGGTAGCATTATTAAAAGATGTTAATATAATTTAAAAATAAAATAAGTGTAAAAGAATGAAGTTACCGGTCTAAGCCTTACACCTGCTACCAGGAAAATGGCGTTAGATTGAACAGACTGACACAGATCTACGAAAAGACAGCCAACCTTGAGGTTGAAATTATTTCAACAGAACAGCAAGGTCAGAGGTACCACCTCAAATAATTGAGCGGTTTATTTAAAAGTTAATGAGCTTTGGATGACAGCCCGCTTGTAAGAGACAATCCAATGAAAGAGACTGATATAGTAATAACAATCACTCGCATTAGCCCGTCTAAAAACAAACAGGAGAATTTCATTCAAACTCTTATATTTAAATTTATGTTAAACATTGTGGCTGAAGAAATTTTTGCCAACAGGTGAATAACAATTAGATAATTTCCAACAGTCTAAGCTTCATACACTTAGATCTGTAATTTGTAAAGGATTCTATGAATCAATTACAATGTTAATATTATTACTATACTATTAAAAAGTGACTGGTTCACACTCATATGGACAAATTATAATGTAGAGGTAACCTTGTAATGAAAGTTGCCTATATTTAAGTAATTGCTATAAAGAATTGAGTGTTATAGTTTATTTTATATTAGTTATTTATTTACTATGTTATATTATTCAATGAAAAATTTGTGTTCAAATATGTATATTACATGATAATTATATTGAAAATGAAAGTAAAGCCTAGTTCTGCAATATTAGAGCATGATAAATTTGGCTCAAGTTACTTATGTCAGTTCTCTTATTTAGAGAATTAGGATGTTTAAGGATTGAACACATTTCTAAAAACTGTCTTTTAAATAGATTACGTTCAGTGCCAAGAATCTTAACTTCATTAAAATCCACTTTATGTTTGGTGCTAATAGCATGATGTGCGAGAGCACACGTATTTTTTGATAAATTAATATCACTACGATGGGAAATAAGACGACCTTTTAAAGATCTACTGGTCTGGCCAATGTAGCAAAATTCACAGTCAGAGCATGGAAGGTGGTAAATTGTATTGACTTGTTCTAAAGTAGACAATGGTGTTTTAGTTTTTGAAAAAAGATTTCTAACAGTTTTTGCGTTCTTGACAGCAATTTTAACAGGAATGTTATTTTGTTTATACAGTTTAATAAGTTTCTCAGTAACTTGAGGAAAATAAGGTAGAGAAGAATAATGGATAATAGGATTCTCAGACTCAGTATCAGGCAGAACAATGCTATTAATTGAGTTATTTGAAATAGTTCTGAGTTGGTCACCATTGGGTATGTCATCAAACGAGGAACCATAGCTTTGTGTGTAAAGGTATTTGTTTATGATTGATGATGGATATGAGTTCTGTATTAGAATATTTCTTAATAACTTAAGGGATTCCCTTCGATTAATTGGATGTGTCAATTTATGTAATCTGCAGCTTAAAGCTTGTATAAGGTTTAGTTTATACTTCATAGGGTGACAGGAGTGGTAATTAAGGAACCTATTTGAGGCCATGGGTTTTCTATACCAACTTGTGGTTAGGGTGTTATCTCCCATTCTAATGACACGCATGTCTAAGAAGGGAATGCTATTGGTGATGCTGTCCTCAAGTTCAACAGTGAACTGTAAATGAGGATCAAACTCATTAAAGAAGGATAAGGTACCCTGAACCTTGTCAGGTGGTAGGGCTAATAATAAATCATCCACATACCTCTTAATAAAAGGGATTTGAACATCCAAACGACCCAATCGGTCGGTATATATATATATATATATATATATATATATATATATATATATAATATATATATATATATAAAACCTAGAGCTAAGATTAATATTATTATTAAAATTAATATCAAACTCACCAGTCTTCCGGGTTGAACCGCGTCGTTGTCCATTTTGACAAGCTTTCGGCATCCTCTCTGATGCCTTCCTCAGGGCTTCCGAGGTCTCAGTCTCCCGAGCCCCCAGACACTACTTCACTATTCACGGCACGAACACTACTACGGCTGGGAACATGAGACGGTTCATTTATACCGTCGAAGATGGCGTGGCCTAGGTGGGGGTTGGGGTGGGGGTTGTCGCGAGAATTGGTACTGGGGTTGGCGCGTATATAAATATATATATATATATATATATATATATATATATAATATATATATATATATATATATTTAGGCGGCACACGCCCTTCCGGTAGGGATCTATGGAGGAGTATCACCGAGCCGCAATCCCTTATCTCTTGCCGTAATGCTCCACCAGAGGCCGATCAGACACCAGCATATTCTAGTCTAAGCCGCAGATTCATTTAGAATTTTAAACTGCTGCGTTAGCCTTTTTGTTTTCTGTACACCTAGCTGGGGATCAAACTCACATCACTCGCAGTGAAGCGAATGAGAAACCGGCCGCCCAGCCCGCTTGGCTATCTGACCGACAACTATAACTAAAAATTCTTATTTTTCTGCTGTGTGAACAGGGGCGGGCCTTCAAGGTAGGCACCGCCGAGCCTCTTCAAATGTACAATAATAAATTATTTATTATTATAAATTACTTATTTCAAAATTGTGATTCATAATTTATTTTTGACATAATACCTATTTAAAATAAAAGACCTATTTTTTCACTTATAGTCAGTGATTTTATCGTTCTCAGACGCGATGATTTCGGTCGCCTCCGGACTGTTTCAGGCTATGAAAGTTTTAAACGATTAATCTGCAGTTTGAAACGCGTTTTTCAAGGCACCGAAATCAAGAAAGATTATATATAGTAACGGGCTTTCTTTTGCCATTTTCGAGATCGTTTAAAATGATATCGTATGATGCGGTAATCATTTTAGAAATTCACCTTTTTGTTGGCCGTATCTACTGCTTGCAAATGTGAAGCAAAATGTTTGGGTAAATAAGGGATATTCAGATTTGAAAAATTTATCAGCTTGTGTCAAAACAAAATGAATCTTCGAAAAAACATTTAAGCAATTGTTTAGTTTTAAAAAGGTTAGACCAAAATACACAAACTATTGACAGTGCTTTAGCAGGACATATTACTTAATTCAATACGATTTTCGATACGATGTTTCGGGATTTTGCAGTCTTCTTTGGATGAGTTTCTATTTTATGTTCAGGGAGTTGATATATGAAGAAAGGGTATTTTGGTTAGTTTGCATTGAGGTTTAGAATGTATCTACTTAATTGTGAGCTCCCTTAGATACAGATTGGCTATATTACTAGATTGATGAGATATATGGCAGCTTAGACTCGGGAAATGGTGTTTTAAAAGTTACGGTACGTTTTTGTGTTTGAATTTTTTTAACAGAGTCTAACCTACTAACCGTTGAAAGTTTTTTTTTATAACCAAACCTTATTACCATTTTTTTCGGTGGCTCTGTAGTATGAGCTCTGTTTAGGGCTTTACTCATCTAGGAAGGACCTATTGTTAACTGTTATTTAGGAATGTAAGTTTCCTAGGCCAGCATTTCGTAACGGTTATTGGTTTCCGGGATTCTAGCCCGTGGTATGGAATTATTACTTTCGAGGTTTCGCCCGCGACTGTGTCAGTTATTATTAAAGCGATGCGAGAACACGAGAGCGGTCGGAGTGTTATGGTTGCGGATATACAAGAACGAATAATTAATATTGCGTTGACATGTTGACAATGAATACCTATAATTTATATGTTGCCAATTATTTAAATGTTTCAAATTTTTAGGTTACATAACGAAAAGGCTTGTAAGCACTTGTGGAAATGCGCCGTAGAACATCACGGTTTCTTCCGTTTACGAGCACCCGTAAAGGGGCCTTCTGCAAGACAGAATTTTTTCAGGATGGGCTCCAGATTCCGCTACTCGGGTCGAACAGAATATCAAAGTACTTTCCAAAATAAAGCTAGAAGAACTGTTCAATTAGAAAGAAAGCCTAGCCAGAGGTAAGTTGTTTTAAATTCCTTTATTTCTAACCAATACAGTTAACGTTATTATTATACTCTAACATCATATGTATTTAACAGATCTGAAAGTCCAACGCGAAAAATGGTGCAAGATGTATAAAGCCATAAATATTTTTCTAAGAAATGTTATAAGTATTGGTTCTTTAAAACCAACAGACTGAACACTGTCATTTTTAAATGAACCATATTCAGTTAATAAATTCCAAAGATATAATTGGTGCAAAATATGCATGTCTATGTATATTTTAAGACTAGTTGTTATTCCCTTATACATGTCTCTCACAATTTTCACGTACTCACTGAGAACACCTTTCTTTTTGATCGCCTCCACAGAACCTTTCGAGAAACTCTACTTTCTCAAGATCAATCTAATTATACTTCCGTTATTGTTCTTAAATCTAGTTATATTCTAAAAATGGCGAATCTATAAAATTTAAGAGGTCTTCATATTATCAGGCTTAAAAAATGACAATACCTATATATATATATATATATATATATATATATATATATATATATATATATATATATATATTATATATATATATATATATATATATATATATATTTACACTATTTATCTCTTTTAGGTATGGAAGAAGACAGAGTCATGTGTTGCGTGAGAGGGAGAGGGAAAGGGAACACATATCTTCTAATAGTAGCGAAAAATCTGCATGCGAGCCTATATATTGCACAGTTAAGGATGATATAACCAAGAGTCTCACCCCTACTCCGTCAACTCCAACAGGTAACATTTAGCTGTTTATTAGTGAGGGAAAAAATTGGCAATATCATACTATAAAAAATACTTGCGTGTTTGGATATAGTAATAAAATAATCAAATTAAGGTCATATGAGATCAAATTTCCGCTCTTAGAGATATTACAGAGCAATCTCCAAATAAATGATTGAATTATGACGTTTTAACTCAGAAATTTCTCTTCTACCCTTTGTGTATATCAGTGGGTATAGGGTGGGTATTGTCAGGCGTTCAAAATATAATTCGGGAGCGAATTTCAGTACGCATTTGATCTGCATTATCGACCGTCCCGAACCTTATTGCGGATAAGAAACTATAGTTATTAAATTATTCAATATCTGTAACATTTACATAGCTCACTAACTGTGACGTTATAAGCTTGTTTTGGAAGCATAGGATTTCTTATTGCGGACGGAGTGGTGGACCTTGTATGAAAAAAATAAAAACGACTGAAACGATGAAATGTAACGATTGTGCTACCATAGATGGAGTAGTAAACGCAATCCCATGCGTGTTTCAAACAAAATAAAATAAAAATAGAATTGGTCAAATCGCATCGAATGGATTTGAATTTAATTAAATTAAAAACCGTATCTCCATGCGTAGAAGATGAGAAAGCTATGCTTTCCCTCCTCGGTCACTCTCTAAGTGCCACATCCCGTTTTTTTTTTTTTTTAATGAAACCATTGAATATCAAATACCGTTAATTATATTTACCAGCAGAATATTGAAAGTTACTTGGTTAAAAGACAACTCTCTAATAACCATTATACAACGAATTCCCCTGACTATGGGTGTAAAACATATAAATATCTCTCTATGATGAACACATCTAAAGGCAAATGCGTAGCATGTTTAATTATTTTAAATATGAAAAGAAGAAAAAACGTTCTGTGTTGATTAAAAAGTAGATTTTGACTAAGATATCAAATTCAGAAAAGCAATTAATTTTTTTACTCTGTTCTTATAAATTGCATTTGTAAACATGTAAGAAGTATTTACATATACAGTGTAGGTAAAATTTTAAGGTCGGTATGGTAAAATTTAACAGGATATCTAACGCAGATATAAAATCATATTTTCAGCGAATTAGACAAAGATAACAATCATATTTCCCCTTCGTCTCCCCTCCTAAAATCCTTTTAACACTCATTGGCCATTGCCCATTAGTGAGACGATTAGTTCCGATCAGATATTCTCTGGTGCCGATCCTAATATACCTAAAAAACTAGAGGTGGGTCCTCTCGTTTTTTAAATTTTTATCGGAACCGTTTTTCGTAAACTGTAACTAGTTGATTGTTTACCAGTATTCAAATTAGCGAGTACACAAACATATCGAGACATTTTTGGCAAAGTAACGTAAGTCACCAAAAACGATTTGTAGAAAAAACAATTTTTTAATTCAACCTGCTTAAACTTATTTAAATTATGACTGAAAAAACTTGTCCTAAAAAAGGTTTAAAGTAAATCTAGGCTTACTACACTCTTTCAGTACCTTTTTAACAGTAATAGCATTAGTTTAATTGAAAAACATTATTTTCGCCAAAAATGTCACTTACGTTACTTTGCCAAAAATGTATCGATATTGGCTATTATCGTTTATGTGTATAAGTATTGAAATAAAAGAACCTAACGAAGGATATATTTATTGTAACTTGAAAAATAAATTAAATAATACAAATGGTACTTAAATACTTACATTTACATTACACATTATTAAATCGCGAATCGTCTAAATTGACATTTAAAAACATAAGTTTTTCCACTTTTCTTGTTAATCGCGTTCTTCTTTTATTTAAAATTATACCAGATGTTAAACATGTGTTCACAAGGAAAAGATTTTGTTACAATACTACAACATTTTATGAATATAGTGGTTAAGTTACGATATACATGGCGATGGTTTTTCACCACGGTAATGGACAGTTCCAATCTCCGTTCGAAATTGTTTGTGGGTAATATATCATCAGACAATTACATGTCGACTTCTTTTATACCTCTCGATACAGGTGTATGTTTAGATGAGTCATGTCCAATTAATTCATCAAAAATACACCATGGACTTAAGTCATCTTTATCAGTTTCTTTTTCTTGGACTGATTGATTTTCAAGATTTACTAAACTTTTCGTTTCATCCGTTTTCCATAGTTAAAGAACCAGCTTTTAAAAAGTTTGCAGGGTGGATTCCTGGATATAAACCGCCAACAAGAAAAACTTTGTCAGGTTCATTACTTCAGGAATGTTATGTCAAAAGTGAGCAAATTATTGGATCACAAGTTGTTAAAGAAGTAGAAAATATCTGTATTACTACTGACCTCTGGACATCTGGAGTAACTGAGAGTTACTTCGCATTAACAGGACAATATTTAACCGAAAATTTAGTATTCAAAACTTTTTTATTAGGCTGCTGTCATTTTTCTGAAAACCATAATCCAGAAAACAGCGATTACTGAAATTATTAATCAGTGGGGTCTAAAACGAAAAGTAAATTTTGCAGTAACTGATAATTCCTCAAATATGGTCAAAGCTATTAAATATGTTTTGTTTTATGATGATTGTGATTTATGATGATGATTAAATTTATTGGTGGGGGACGCACTTAAATGCTGTCGTGTACAAATAGATAAAATAAAAAGTCCTTTTTTCGACAATTCTGCAAAAAAACACATTTCAAAAAAGTACCTTATCTTCAGAAAGGCTTTTAAAGTATTAATTACAACAGAACACAGTTCCCAAACGGCCAATCCAAGACGTGGAAACTAGGTAGAACTTCACCTATTACATGTTAAGAAGGATGACCGAGTTAGAAGAGGCAACCCGTTCCACATTGGTATTAAATAATACAGACTTAGACTTAAACCTAATCTAAATAAAGAACACTGGATTATTTGTTCTCAACTTTCCCAAATTTTACGGCCGTTTAAAGAGATAACAAGTACAATGAGTGACCAAAAATACTTGAATGCTAGTTCAGTGATTGTTATGGTACGCTGCCTGCAAGAATCTTGCAATAAAATTTTAGCAAACGGCATACTTACATCCATAGTATCCGACATAGTACAATTACTAATATCGGGTTTAGCAAAAAGATTTAGAGGGATAGAACAGAGTGGCACATTGTCATTATGTACATTTATGGATTCACGATTTAAAGTGCAGAACAAAATAAAAAGTTAAGAAGCTGGTTACTTCTATAATTAACGAACAAGAAGATTGTACTATTGAAAATCAACCAGTACAAGAAAAAGAAACCAATAAATATGACTTAAGTCCATGGTGTATTTTTGATCAATTAATTGAAGATGACTCATCTACACGTACACCTGCATCGAGAGTCCATTACAAGAAAAACTTATGTTTTTATATCAATTTAGACTATTCGCGATTTAATAATAACGTGTAATGTAAATGTAAGTCCGATTTACTATTTGTATTGTTTAGTTTATTTTTCAAGTTATAATAAATATATCATTAGGTAGTTTCTTTCACTTCAAAAGATATACACATAAACGATAATAGCCGTTATGTTTGTTTATGTAGGTACTCTATTACTTGAAACTACTTTTAAACAATCATAGTTACTTGTTTATGAAAATTAAAATTTTTAAATGCTTTTTAGCATTTAAAAAAATTTTAATTTTTTTGGAATCCTGAGAAAACTAACAAATATTTTTGAAAAATTTAAATGCAGAATGAAAGATTACATTATTACCGAGGGCCGAAAGTCCCTTAGAATAAACAAAAAGTTTTTTTAATGAGATATTTGAAATTAAAAATCACACTAAATTTTGTTTTTTTTTTTTTTCATCCCTATAACTTATTAAAATAAACATTATAGAAGTTTTCAGGGACTTTCGGCTTTCGGTAATAATGTATTGTTTCATTCTGCGTTTAAATTTTTCAAAAATATTTATTAGTTTTCTCAGGATTCGAAAAAAATGAATGCTTTTAAAAAACATTGGCCCGAAATTTTGCTCCTACGCTCTTAACGATAAACTAGCACGACCCACCTCTACTTCTCGTTACTCGATCTTTTGACCAGACGACTATCTAGACTAGACGTTGCCAAAGAATTAGTGTATGAATATTTTTTAATGTGGCGTTATTGTATGCATGTTTAATTGTTTATTATTTCATATTGGGAAATTATTTTGATGTTTAGATTTTTAGTTCGGAAATCGTACTTAAAATACGAAACATTAATAAATTTTATTTATATAAAACGATTTCCGAAATGGAAATCAAAATGTTATATTACAATTATTGTAAAGAAAACTTGTGGCATATTCCCAATAAAAAAAACAGTAACCTACCATTTAAATCAATTTCGCCCAAATTTGATTATCTTGAGCATTTTATCTTCTTGATAGAACATTGTTCAAATGCAAAAAAGACAACCGTCAAATAAAACCGATAAGTTTGGCAACGTTGAACTTCCCCTTTTTTATTATTTCTAGGCATGAAGGTTCCGCGATATAAAGGGCGTACCTAATATACCTCTGTCTTTTTAAACAGCTGTTTCTCACTCCATCTCACGTAAGGTCCATACCGACCATAAAATTTTTCCTACACTGTATATCGTATATATGTGTCGACACAAGTTGCTGATAATTGAAATATATATCGCTGATATAAATTTTTCACTGTATCATTAGTAAAGATATATGTCTGACACAAAATTCATGCACCAAGTGTCGGATCTAAATGTACGTTAATATTAGTTTATGTCCCATGTTGAGGAGATTGGTCCTTCTGGGCATTCTTGGTTAGCTGGGCATGCTTTATGGAAGTGATTGAGGTAATTTTTGACAACTTCTTGACCACCCGACTTTTTATTTTTGTTAATTTGGTTACATTTGGAATAAACGTCTATTCCTACGCAGCTCCCAATCTAGTTATACGAATGCAAGTGCTACCAGGTACTTGTTCATGCCCAAAGTAGACCGTGTGTGATAATTATTTTTAGACAAGCTACTGCGATGCAGTTTTGAGTAGAGTACAATACACCTTTACCTTAAGTGCTATTATCTTGTCTTGAATTGTCTTAAATTCATTGCAGTACATCACAACGTCAAGGTAAATCAGTCAATGTTAATGGGGTTGTGATGAACATCTCTAAAATTATCTTGATAACTACCTTAATTCACAATTTTAGAATGGGTTTTAAGTTTAGTTTGTGTAAAACGTATCTAATTACTGTTTCATATTTTTGCATAAAACAACACAATTTAAGATTAACATTCTCTTAAAATGTTTTTAAATAATGTGATGCGTTAATTTTGTTAAAGAGTTTGTTATGATTTATTATGAATTATAATTGGTTGTATGTCATTTTAGGTCCGGATTCCATAGGTCTCATAAGTCAAAGCAGCTTTGGCCGAACATCAGCTGGACAAAACAGTTTCGGTAAAGCATCTGTAAGTTCTGTAGGAAAGACTTCCATTGGGGGCGGTTCGTCAAATAGGTATGCAACATATTTATGCATGATTTGTAATATATTTTATTATTTGAACATTTGCCTTTAGCCCTGTTTTGTCCGTAAGCAGCAAAACTGGTACCCTCCCAAGAAATAAACCTACTACTCCGACAAGTCCACTGCCGCCAGTTAGTCCTACTCCGTCTAATACAGACAGTCAGCTGGATTTCTTATTCAAGAGCTTAGCAAAAGAATCTCTTTCGGGAATCGCCAGAGATGACAAGAGGAATGAGAACACAGAATCTGAAAGTGAGGATATTTTCTTTTTATTTAGTTTTGACATAATGAATATTCATTTTTTTTTCTTTAGTAATAATATTAATAATAATATTTCGTGTACAGGTTGATCAACTTTTGTGACCGAGTCCGTTATATCTGTTATTATATGAGATACCAAAAAAGGTTATTTATGAGTTAGCTGTAATGTTCACATTTTAAAATTAGTTACGTATATAGAATATTATATTAGTTATGTATATATATATATATATATATATATATATATATTATATATATATATATATATATATATATATATATATATATATATATATATATGGCCTTCCATAACACTGTACCACATTAAAGATATGTTTATTAATTGAAACACCTTGTATTTTATTTTAAACATAAAATCTGTTTCACTTCCTTGTTAAAAAAATACAAAGCTGTTTTGTGTTACGAGGGTGGATTGATATAAAACTAGCCTTTGATAGAAAAAAACAAGTTTTTTGAAATTACAGTAGACTCGCGATTATCCGAGTCCCGACTAACCGAGCCTCTGGATTAACCGATTTAGTAATTGAAAAGAACACATTATGTAATAAATTAGCTTGGAGAGCGAGATTAAATGAAAGCGTGCGCGCTCGCTGTTCTCATGAGATATGTCGCTAGCGAGTGTTATTGTTCTAGCCACTATGCTTATACTGGCCGCCTGCCGAATTTTGACAGACGCCATGTCATGAATGGCAAATGTCAACACCGAAACCAATTCGGTATCAAGTAGCGCCATCTATCAAAGGCTAGTTTAATATCAATCTATCCTCGTATACAGGGTTAACCAAATTTCAATGAAAATCGCACATAACAAGTTCAATGCACTGTATAATTGAAAAGAAGTCCAAAACAATAACTGTATAATCTTGTAATGAGGAAGTGATGCATTTTTTAAATTTAAAATAAAATACAGGGCGTGGAATAAAAGGATGTTGTTACGAGTTGTTAATTCTTTGTCACTATTTTACATTTTAAAATTGTTTTTATTTATTACATTATGTTACTGCCTTGTTTACAATATCGGTTTCTTACAATAACATTACCATACGTACTACCTGCACTATTATTGTGAAATACTATTCTAACATATATCTACAATGACTAATTGAATCGGTTATTTCGAAAAGGCCACAACTCCAGAAATGTTAATTTTAAATCCAACATAAAAAGACATAGGTACACTGTAAAAAATAATTTAATTTTTGGAGTTGTGACCTTTTCCAAACAAACACTGATGATTTTTTTGATTAATAATAGAAAACTCCAATATTATTAAGGAAAAAAATTATTAGGTGGCAAGAAAACATGTTGAAGGTTAAGACATAGTCTTTTAGTAATCTTCCGCTGGTGGTTCATTACTATTAGTGGCATATTGTACAAGTTTCTTGATGTTGTCCATTTTTTTTCTAATTAATAGCGTTTTTTTCTGTGTAAGCAAGATCCGTTGGCAAACTAGGACAAACTCCAGCTGGTTTTCCCAAGGAAAATTCATGAAACATAAGCCCATCGATAAATGGACGTACTTTAATAATTCCCGGTTTTTTGTTGTCCTGTTCGAACTCATTATATTGAGAAATTTGAAAAGTTTTTTCTCATGTTTGGTTTTTTCTCACACATTGAAGGAATGAGTGGCATCTGTTTGGAAAATAATGCAAAATGTGATTGAATTTTCCTGACGAAGCAAGAGCTAGGAAGGAATCTTATCACCGTGTGGTTCTTATTTTGGCCTAAACAACCATATGAAAATATATGGACCTCTTTTACATTTTCAGAAACCTCATTTTCAAAATAATTTTTCAGGAAGGTGCACACTTCCTTGGGTCCTTTGTGGGCCTCGCCCTTGAGATAGGAAAAAATTTAGCTTCTCCTGTATTTAAGATTGTGTATACTGAATTCAAAAACTCATAACTGACGATAATAAAAAATTTTCTACACGAATATGTCAGGTATCGGCAAATTTTGCATATAATCCATGGAGATTCCTAGTATCTCGTCCTTCTCTGAAGAAACTTTTTTAATCTGCTCTAGTTTTTTATAAAATTTCTTAGCCCTATTTTTGTGAATTAATGGTTCTGCAACAGCAACTCGTTTTGAAATGTTGTTGAGAGGGTTACTTTTACATCATCATCATCATATAACGGGGGTCCAACGGCGATTGCCGCTTCCCGCACTTCAGCCTCCATCTTTTCCTATCTCTCCAATCTCCCTCTTCTAAGCCTCTAGATTGCATTGTTTTTGTAATTTCTCTTCTCCAGGAATTTGGTGGTCTTCCCCTTTTCCTTCTTTCTGGCGGAACATACATTAAGGCTTTCTTTGGCCACCGCTCCTCCTCCATTCTCATCACATGACCATACCATTGTAATTGCCTTCCTTGTATTCTATCTGAAAGAGTATCTCTAATTCCTGTACGGTTTCGTATTTCCTCATTCCTGATTCTTTCCATTCTCGATACTCGACATGACCTTCTAAGATAGTCCATTTCCACAACGTCTACTTTATCTCGTTCATTCTTTGTCATCGTCCAACATTCGGCACCATATGTGGTAATTGGTTCTACAATTGCTCTGTATACGCGAAGTTTGGTATGCATCTTTATTTTATTAGACCACAGTAATGAATTCAGTATTCGGATGCATTTTTTCCCTTGGGTTATTCGGTTTTGTACATCTATCTTAACTCTGCCATCTGCTGATATGGTGCTTCCTAGATATTTATACTGGTTGCAGCCTTTTATGACTGCGTTTTCAAGCCTCAGATCTGTGGTATTTCCTCCAATTTTTAAATATTCTGTTTTGCTTATGTTTACAGTAAGCCCCCATTTGGCATATTCCTCAAATAATTTTCGATTCATATAATTTATATCTTCCTCATCGGTTGCAACCACCACCTGATCATCTGCAAACAATGTATACAGAGTTTCTTGTCCCACTTCGATGCCCATAAATCTAAATTTATTTCTCCAATTCCTCAATGCTTCTTGGACGTATATTTTAAAGAGTGTCGGTGACAAACAGCATCGTTGCTTTAGGCCTTTAGTGACTTTAAATTCATTTGAGGTTCTGGTTCCAATTTTTACACAACTAACTGCATTTTCGTACAATTTATATATCGCTCGGATATACGTCGAATCCAATCCGGACCTTTTGATGACCTCAAACATTTTCTTTAACGGGACACTATCATATGCTTTCTCAAGGTCTATAAATACCAAATGGGTCTCTCTACTTCTTTCGACACGCTTTTCAATTATTTGTCGTAGGATAAATATATTATCAAGGCAGGATCTCCCGGTACGAAAGCCGCTTTGTTCTTCAATATCTTGTATCTGTCTTTCAACCCTCTTCTTTAATATTCTGCCGTACAACCGGCCCACAGAGCTCGTCACACTAATACCTCTATAATTGGAAGAGTCTCTTTTATTCCCTCTCTTATATATGGAGCTTATATAAGATTTATTCCAATCTTTAGGAATTTCCTGGTCTCCACACATACGTTTATTGAAAAGGTCTACTATTAATTCTAAAAGTGCAGTCGGCCCATATTTAACCAGCTCTATGGGAATGTCTCCAGGCCCTGCGGCTTTTCCGTTTTTAACCTCTTTTAAGGTTTCCGTCAATTCAGATAATGTTATTATAGGGATTTCCTGTCTTTCGTCTCTGTTGTCTATTAATTCCCTTATCTTTTCCCATCTGTACTCTACTCTATCCTCTTTCAGCAGTTTCGTATAATATTCTTCCCATTCAATTAACTTTATGAGAGAAATGTTGTCTTCATTTTTCTCATTTTTCCTAAACTGTTTTAATGTTTTCCAAGCTTGCCAAGCCACTTTTGTTCCACCCATAAATCTGTCCAGTTCATCACACTTAGCCTCCCAGTTTATATTTTTCGCCTTATCCACGTCTTTTTTAACTTCTCTATTCCATTTAGCGTATATTTCTCTGTCTTGAGGATCTTTGGATTGAAGCCATATGTGATATGCTTGTTTTTTCTTGAGAACTTTCTCTTCTAGTTCCGTTGACAACCATTCAGGTTTTCCTTTTTTCCGATGTTCAACTTTTCCCAGTGCTTCATTTGCCGCTTCATGAATATATTTTTTAATTACCTCATACAGACTTTCGGAGACTTACTTTTAACTTTCTGTTAATATACATCAACATACATCATCATACATCAACTTGAGGACGACCAAAAGAGTATGTAAAATTTTCATGAAAATACTTCAAATAAAAACTATTTCACTTTAGATTCCGAAAAATTTTCGATAAATATTTTATGCATTTGATTGACATCCAAAGTAGCAGGTAAATACTTTTTTAATATATTAGCATAATGGACTTCCTTTACATCAAACGATTGTATGTGCTCACGTATTTGAAAGCACAATTAAATTATGTTTAGATTTAACAGATTTACCTCTATTATCTCTTGGAGTGGATCCAATCACTAGTAGGTGGCATAATCTTCTGACATGCTTTTCGCCAACACCATATAAACTTAAGAAAGCTTTCTTACGTACTTGCTTACATACTCCTTTTAAACAAACATGAAACAAAAAATTATTGGGTCTCTCAATACGTTTAATGGCATTCTGAGATTTTCTCATTCTCTTAATGGGAGTTACTTTTTCAATAGTGACACTGGTTTCCCTATCAGAGCCACTTATTTTTGTATAAACAATACACAATGGAACCTAATCGTCAACTGGTCTAGGAAACTAGGAAGGTCCGCGACCGTAACCACTAAATCACATGTCGGCGCGCGCGTTTGTTTCGAAAACGCGACATCTCTGGAGAAGTGGCTTTTTCGAATTAAACAGAGAAATACGTTCGTCAAGATAAATAGTAACGAACAGTGGAGATGTGGCGTTTTCACGTGTAATAAAGCTTAAAGGATATTCTGAACAAAATGGCGAAGTTGACTCATTTTGTGAAATTAATTTAGATGTGGTCTTTTCGAAATAACCGATTCAATTATTATTGATTCTTATTGTAATTCCGTCCGCGTATATATATTTTTACTTATACACTGTGTGTTTTTCAATGTCACCCATTGTCTTTTAGGTTGAACTCAGTTCAATGTAACAATTGTAAATCATTCGTATTGACTTATTATACTGTAAGCCTTTTTACATTTAATGCTTAAAGGTTAAAGCCTTACTACATTCATTTAAAAACATATCTTTGATGCAGTAGAGTGTTATAGAAGGCCCTGTATATTTATAACTGATTTTAAAATGTGAAGCTTACAGCTATGTCGTATTTTTGTAAATATGTAACTTTTTTGGTATCTCCTATAATAACAGATATAACCGACTTTGGCACAAAAGTTAGTCATGTGTATTAATTTTTAATATAATATCGATTACATATTTTATTATAATTATATTACAGCAGAAAATGACGGTGCTTCAAAATCACTTCCGAATGAGATTCCAAACAATATTACTAAAATTGTTGGTATCGCAAAACCTCTACCTCCAGGACAAATCAAATGCAACATCTTGAAGGGTTAGTAAATAAAATTTTCAATGCTAAAATACTATTTTGGTGGTTTGGCGACAATTTTCTGTTTCTTTATTTTTTCTTTTGTGTTCTTTTCTAATTTTTAATTCAAAACACAACAGTTAAGTTTGGTTAAATTAGGTATTAAACATTTTTCTGTAATATATCAAGACAATAATACAAGGTACAACTAGAACTATAACACTTTGTTCGACTTTACATTTTCCATGAAGTCATCTCGAAAGCGTAGGAGGATATAGTGTCGAAAGTATGTCTCCGGAATACTATAACAATATTCAATTGAAGGTGATTCATTGGCAACATCGCACTTAAAGCCACCAAGCAATATTTCCCTTATCAACGTTGCAGAGGCTTACCTAAATAATTACTTAAAAATTTAATCTGAAACCGAGTGTTTTGACAGGTATCTTATAGTTGTCTAAGAAAATAAAGTAAAATTTTATTGTTATTATACAGTACTTAATAAAAACAGAAAACTGCAAAATAATTACCTAAGTTATGCTTATGAAGTTTCGGAATCCAGCGACTCGTCCGGAGAGGAATCCCCAGTCACAACTAAGTATTATTATTTTGTCGAAAACAGTATCTACGATCCGTCCAATCTCCACATTTTCTCTTCTTCCTTGATCACATGGCTACGGCTTTAGCCCAATCTTCTTTCCGTATCCGTCCCATTGCGAGTTCTAACAAACGTTGCACATCAGAAATTTTATGTCACGTTTTTACGATCTACGTAACCTTTTACTTGAGCCGAGAGTAATTATATCAGGTTTAACTCGCAATAGTATCTGCATATCTAATGTTGTTTAGCCGGTAACCATTTAGTAGAATACCTTTTTCAGTTTCGTGCAAATCTTCGATAAATATTCTTTCAGAGCACAGATTGAAGATTAGACGAGACAAAATACAGCCTTGCCTCACTTCACGCATGATTTTCACATAGTCATCTCTCTAATAGAGCGAAGATATCTTCGTCGCCATGAGACTAAATCTTCTCTTTCTATTAAGACAGATTTAGGGAATCGTTTGGCATATATATAAATTTTAAATCTCTTATAATTATCCTTAACGTCTCTTTGCAAGTTTTCGGAATGGGATCGTTTTTCTGGTACAAGTCCAATTCAGTTTTTTATCTACCACGACAATGTACTTTTGGAGCTTGTACAATCCCACCCACCCTTTTTCACGTAGTATGCATTCAATTATCGATACGGATACTCCCGTTAAAAATGAACACTGAGCTACAGCTTCCATTTTAAATTTTCACACATTCCACAGGCAATCTGCTTTTCTACTAATGGCATAAACTTCCACTTTCTTTGTACATGACTTGGACCCGCTGGCCCGCATGACTTGGATACCTCATAAACTATTTTAAAGTTAATAAATATAATAAAGTCTATTTAATAAATATATTCATAAGAAACAGAACACGTCACATCTATGCATATATGGAATGTGAAACGAATAAACTATTTCTCTCATTCCTATTCTTTCCGGACATAAATAGAACTTAATATAGAGACCAGCGAAGTGTTGATAAGTTTACCGATGTTTTAAAGTATTCAACGAACTTGTTCAACTATTCACTCGTAAATCACACCGGTATGCTACGGGGGCGAATTTTATGGAACCCTTTTACTTTTTACTTATCCACATTGGCGAAACATACACAATAAAAACGACCCCGTAAGTACCGGTAAGAATTTACTTCTGACATTTAACATTGTTGCCGTTAGCTCTCAGTTCAATTTATGGATGAGTCACCTTTAATTGAAAATTGTTATAGTTTAGTTAAGATATACCAAATATACCGGCGTCCATTTATCTGTACGACCTATAACTCTTTGTTCCATTTTACATCTTCCATCCAGTAATCTCAAAAACGTCGGAAGATATAGTCTCGAAATGATGTCTCAGGTAGCTGAGATATGCCAAATGTAGATCCGGCGTCCATTTATCTGTTTGACCGCAAAAATCTTACTATACTGAACTGAACACTAACCATTTTTTAAGGAAATTATAAATTGTAATGGCATAACATGGAAGGTTTCATCTTTAAGAAAACCCGAAACCCAGTTAATTTCACCTATTCATCACATACTGAATTATCTTGAAATTACTATTAACTGCCATCCTATATAAGATCTGTATTACCGAAGGTCTTCCCGATTAGCTTTTTGGCATATCAACTTTACTTCTTCGAAGGCGCTATATTACGCACCCTTCCGTTTCCAACGAGGCCACATACGTTGTGATTCAACCGTTAATATTAAAGATAGGACTTACTCTTCTGGTTACATATTGTCTTTTGCTATCTATGACCTACTGAGTAGCCAACAAAGAACAATTTCCGTAACAAACTTCCTCTCCTGTTTCTTTTTCTATCATTTTGAACGTTCGTTAAGAAAACATCTTCGTTTGAAAAACATTTATAACCATGTCAAAAATTAATGCTTTTTGGGAAGATTTAAATGAAAAATGTTGTTAATATTTAATTTCAAACTTGAATTTTAATATAAAACAAACAAGATGTTTTGTAAAGAAAATATTTCCTGGGGGTTCTTCTACACTTTATAATAAGGGCATAAAATTAGGGATTATTGGTCCATTTAGTCTTTGTACATGTATCTTCATTCAATTTATACAAATGAAATAAAAGAATTTTTAAATCAAACGTAGGTCGTCAAATAATTAGAAAATTCCAAACTATGGGTTTAATAGGGTTTATGGAATAATAATTCTCGTTATTAACATATAAATATGTACCTAACTATATTGAAAATTAGGCATATAAACTAACTAAATATTAAATATGCAAACACCGTTGGTATTGTTGTATTAACATGTTAAAAATGGAAATTCTCAGATCAGCACTGTCCTGTGTCATATTGCTCTTTTCGTTTAATGTATAATATTGTAGATGGGCATGCGGCCTAGTTTCATGGTTTTACCTTCTTTAAGTAGAAAAGGGACACTATAAAAATAAATAATTCGAGAATAATGTCATACATGTGCAAAGAACCAACCGGTGAGCTTTATAATTATATGATCATACAATCATTTCCGATTTCGAAATCGTTGTAAATGGGCTCATACAAGTAAAAACACTAATAATGTAATAAATTTTATACCCTTAACCATATCACATGCAAATAACTTATCGCACCAATATTATTGTTTATATGTGTATCAGGATTTGTAAAGAAAATGACCGTATTGTTTTTAAAAATTTTATCTGTATAAGATGTTTAGATGTAACTTTGGAATACACTTCAATACACACAATACACTCAATACACATCTTATTGATTACTTCAATTTGTTTTTGATGTATTGACCTATTGCATTTATTAACAAATTAGTACTTCGCCTAGAGGTAAATTAAAAATATTATGTAAACATCAGTATCACAAGAATCAGTAGATTGACAAGAAACCATACTTTCATTCGTTACATTCAGGCCCCTAATGAACCAGTGAATATTTAGAACCAACAAGGGATTACATAATATAGGCATACTTTTCACGCTAAGGGGTCTTTCATAGCGACTTTATTACAAAATATTGTGTTGAGAATATCCTGCAAAATGATTTTCATATCGAAAATATAGTAAAATTGAGAGATTTCATAAATTATAAATTTTAAAGGATAAAAGTATTGCTGATGGAAGAGAACCTAAATTTTTTGACGACATAAATGAGTGTTTGATTCATTTCAAGTCATTACTGGGATCCGTAAAGTTATTATAGGCTTCCTAGAATAATTGATATATTTGGAGTCTCTTATACTCCCCGGAGATTATCATAGTTACGAGAGATGGAGAGATAAATTTGAAACAGTACGGGAAAAAATTAAAAAATTCTGAAAGCTGTAATCCCATTAGATTGAAATTATATACCATGCTTTTTGATTAAATTGTCAGGTCTAACTTTACAAATGTTGTATACATTTTACTACATAATGCTTAACATAACATATTTTCCTTTTAACGTGTAAATTTGAGATTTGGCATTTTTAAATTTTAGCTAAATTCGAAGAAGAGCTTCAACATCAAAAACTGACTAATCAGATGTTCGTTCAAGCAAAAGAAGAAGAAACTTCTTTAAATGCTGCAACATTTATCTCGGTGGTAAGTATGTTTAAAATAAAAAAGATTATTTGGGCTAAAATTTGATAACTGATAATGCTTCATAATAAAACAGTAAAATTGTTATACGTTGTTACATTGTCAAGTGTTATATTTCAATTGTTATAGTCTATTCGCTTAGCTAGGGCATATTTTGACAGACTCATTGTCGGAAACCTACAACACAACAATTCCTACTTCTCAGCATTAATAGCTCAAGTATACTACTATTGCAGACTTCTTTCTTTGAAAAAAAAAGAAGAATTATTCTAAATAGTGGAGGTGTATACTAAACCCATCAAATTTTCCCTGTATAAATATAATATTTGAATTGTTACAATTTAAGATTGTAGCAAATATGTGTATTATTCGCGTTGTTTATTTAATTTAATATAGTTTTATTATCTTTGTTTAATTCTTTAGTTAGTTCTATTTAGTTAATTAGTTAGTTATATTTTAAATTTTATTATGGATAGTCAAAGTTTTCCATTTGTTCCATCAGCTAATGCGTTGGTAAGTTTTTCTTAATAAATATGATAAAATGTTTTTTAAAAGTTAATATTTTTAGATTAGTTGTTTCTAATTTAATATAAACTTGTCTATACTTACATGGAGGTTTTTGTTGTTTGTTTGGGTTTATATGACTACAGACTGCGGCCAGAATACTGAATTTATTCACCATAATATGTGGAAGATTTTAACATCCTCAAATGCTAATGAGCAAAAAGTACTATTGAACCACGAATTTGCCTAGTCAAATTACTAATATTTGCTGTTAGCATGTGGAAGTACACTTATTTTGTAAGATAATAAAACAACAGTTTATGTTAATGCTATCCAATGAACTGTTAATCTTTAATCATTGATTCCATCCTAGTCACAGCATAAGGAACTTGCTATGTCTTATTTAACCTCACTTTGACTTTTTAATTTTGTAGAATTTATTCCCACTTTTTTTATTTTGTACAATAAATAATTTTATTATTTGCTATCAATACATTATACGGTGTAAATAAATAAATATTGATTGTCGGCCAAGTTCTATTTTATTTACTTTTGTTTACATTAATATTGACTAAGAGCACGTATGCTTGGTTGTATAGTAATTTCCAGCCACTTCGAGTCTGTCAAAATGTAACTAACTTCACAAAAAAATAATTACTAAAATCACTAGACAGTTCGGACTGGGAATAGCGAACCGGGTATAACTAATTTTACTAATGACAGGTGGACTAATATGAATAGTTTTTTATGTTTTGTTTTAATTTAAATATAGTATATACAGTGAGATCCGTTTATAATGTGAAATTTCATATGTCTGTTATTAGAAGAGACAGAAAAAAAGAGATAGACAAAAATCATCAGTATACATTCACGTTGTAAAACTATTTTCAAAATAAATAGATTGTTAATATAAAATAATAATCCTTGTTAATATACATTTTTACTATCTTATATAGAGCTATCAGTATACTGGGTGGCATAAAATTCACTCATCAAAATTTTCTTTTTTTATCGCGGCTATATACGAAACGGGGATTGCACAGAGGTCTTAAAAAAATAAATCCGATTGTAGCGACTCTAATTACTGCAGTAACTGCAGTACTACTACATGGAATAGTAAACGCAGTCCCGTGCGTATTTATTAATATAATAAAATAAATTTAAAAAATTAAATAAATTAAACTCAAACAACATAAAATCGAATCGATTGGAATCGAAAACGATCTAAAACGTTTAGAACTCCTTCTGTTCGATTGCACAAGTACGTTTTTCAAAACTACACAACTTCAGCTACAAATTCCACCTAATGCCGTCTTCGTGGAAGCATTTCTCGCGACATGAGATCGTTTGTAAAACTAAAAGTTTGAAGTTCAGAGTTTTTTAATGGCATATTTCAAATGCCCCATATTTGCTGCTAAAACTCCCAAGCTCGCAATTTCATGATATATCGTAAAAAATGGCAAAAATCGCCTTCACCTTTAAAACACATTTTAATATTTGTCGATAGGAGACTCTGATCAAAAGATATTGAATTTTTACCGTCGAGTTGATACAAATTTTACTTTAAAAATTGATTTCGCACGCGTAACTTACATTTAAAATCGCCGGTCGCTTCAAGCGTTGTTTTTGAGATAACTGCTTATTCTACACAAAAAGTGCTAATCGACATTTTTGTTCAAAGTTATCTCAGCTACGGTGTTTTCCGTCCCACGAGTTAGTTTAATGGGAAAATTGGGGGGTAGAAGTGGCAAACTGATTTGCATCTTTTTGGGGTCCCAAAATTGACATTCTCATCAAAATTCAGCTCTTTGTATGATATTTAGAAGTTTCCTGAAGACTGGACTATATGAGCTGTTGAAATCCAGAGTGGTACAAGTCACAAAATTCCATTTTTGCTCAAATATCGGTAAAAGCTTCATTTTACAGGCATCTATTTTCACACAAAATATGAAATAATGTTTCAAGCCATTTTTTCTTAGAGCTGTTTTGACTTTTTGCATTTCTTCGTTCTTATGTTCCTTATCTGCCAGTTTCTCAGACATTGTTATTGTTAGGGTTTTTATTACCGAATTTAATTGTGCAGGATGATGGTGTGAGTCTGCGTGTAAGTACCTGCCAATATGGGTTGGTTGTTGGTTATTCTCCCGTTCCATGGTAAACTGTATTTTTGGGTGGATTAATGTGTTGTAGGAATTCGTTAAGCTTCTCTTCTCCATGCGTCCAGATAATAAATGTGTCATCAACATACCTAAGCCACAGTTTGGGTTTATGCTCTGCTGTTTCTATTGCTTTTGATTCCATCTCTTCCATAAAAAGGTTGGCTATTACGGGTGACAGTGGTGAACCCATCGGTGGCCCTTCAACTTGTTTGTACCTCTGGTCCTTGTAGATGAAATAGGTGTTGTTTAAGCAGTGCCTCGTCAGGTTTAATGTATCCTGTGGTATTGGATATTTTCTGCGTATAATTTCTAATGATTCTTCTATTGGCACATTGGTGAATAATGATACTACATCAAAGCTCACTAATAAGTGTTCAGGTTTCAGAACGACGTCTCCTTGATACGGTCGATAAAGTGGCTTGCATTTTTGACGTAAGAATCCGCTTTCTCTGCATATGGTTGTAGCTGGTATTATTTATATATAATATATATATATATATATATATATATAATATATATATATATAATATATATATAATACCAAACTTGAGTAAGTTGATAAAATCGTTTACCTTGGACAGCAATTAAATTGTAACGCAGAAAGTCACGGCGAAATTAGATCTAGCATAGAGCAGACTCAGGCTAGAGCTGCTTGCTCAGCGATCTAAAATTGGCATTGAGGATCCGCCTACTTCGCTGCTACGTGTTCTTGGTTTTACTTTATGGTGTCGAATCCTGGACTGTGAATAAAATCGATCTAAATCGCCTTGAGGCTTTCGAAATGTGATTTGATTCAGATTCAATTCATATCCAATTTCAGATTGGATAAATCGAAATCATCCTTATCATTTACCATTTCATCTGAAATCATTTAACAAAATACATAACCTGTAAATTATTTTAGATGAGAAACAAAATATTTTATTTGATGATGCATCAGGTTTGCAAAGTCAGCATGAAAGTGGTAATAAAAGGAAATGCGTTGGAAAAAAGCGCTTTAGAGAACCGGAAAATAATATCAAAGTAATCCGGAAGAGAAAGAGGAATACAGGACGTGAATATTACAGTACATCTGGAAAAAAGGTGTCACAAAAAGGATTTTCCAATACAAATTGTAATTGCAAAAAAATGTTTTAACCGAATTGATGAGCAAGAGAGAAAAACAGTATTTGATAACTTTTGGAAAATGGGCGATTTTTCTGCACAAAATGCATTCGTGTCTGGTTTAGTTAAACAACGTACCATTAAACATCGACGTTATTGTGTTGGACGTACCACAAATATGTATTTTATTAATACTTTACGTTTAAAACTGTTTAAAACGTTTAAAATTTCGTATGGTTGACTTGAAAGAGCCATTCAACGTTCACGTGTTTCATCGCCTGGAGAAAATTTGCGAGGTAAGCATAAACCAAGAAATAAATTTGCTGAAAAACATGTTCAATATATACGTGAACATATTGGCAGTTTCCCCATGTACCAGTCCCATTACACCCGAAGTCATAATCCGAATAGAAAATACCTAGATGCCAATCTGAACATAAGAATTATGTACAATCTTTATGAGGAAAAATGCTCAACAGAAAATATGTGAAACGTCGGAAGCAATGTACCGAAATATATTCTATCGTGATTTTAATCTACACTTTTATGTATATTTTTGATGAAATAACTGCTTCTAGGGGATCACACGAAATCGGATCTTGCATGCGAAAGCATATTATGATAAATGCAAATGCAGTAAAGCATTTTATTGCTTACAGTGATGCTTGTGGCGGTCAAAACCTCAACATCAAGCAGTGTTTTTTCTGGTTAGAATTAATGGCAGATACAGATATTGAAGTAATAGATCATAAGTTTATGGTGTTGGGCCATTCATTTTTTACCAAATGATCGAGATTTCGATCAAATTGAACAGTATGCCAAATATCGCTTAAAATGTACGCCTGAAGACCGGTATACAACAATAAAAAAATGTAGAACAAAACATTATTTTTTTGGTAAAAAGGAAAATATTCTCTCCATAGCAGTGGTGGAAATATCCGTGACTCGCCGCAAAAAAAATGAATATGATTGTACAGTATCTTGGTTGAACACTCAGTGGCCGCATTTTGAGAAAGATCAACTGTACCCAATAATTTAAAAGAGCACTTTGAATGAAGACTTCAGTTTTAAAACAATCAACATTTTTAACACAAAATAATAAAAAAGGTGACCCTAAATTAATGAAAAATATGAAACTTACACCACTGTACTCTGCTCCACTTAAAATTAGCGCCAGTCAAAAAAGGATATGGTGGATCTACTTCAGTTCGTACCACCCTTTCAATAGAAGTATTTTAAGAATATTTTGGAAGGCCCGTCCATTGAAGATATTGGATCCTTGGGAGAAGAAGAGCTTACATAATTTTATGGGTGTTGAGAGGCAAAGTGGTCTGTCACAAATTATTAAAAAAATTAAAATTATAGTGCTGATTTTACACCAAAATCTAAGTTAACATATTTGTAAACTGTATTTAACAAAAAGATTATAATATAAAAAGATATAACACGTCTCAGGATTTTTAAGTTGCATTTAATAAGACTTTGTATCTCACAATACATATACTAAAAGTCACTTGTACCACTCTGGCTTTTAACGGCTCATATAAGAAGAATTCAAATTCAAACTAACATACATGATATTTGATTAAAAAAATATAACTTTTTTTCGTTCTAGCTCCATGGCTCCTTAATTTATTTACTACATATATATTGTTTTAATAATTTTACTGTTTTTGCTTTTTGTTTGATACATGTTACCCTGTGTGTGTATGCTTTTCATTAACACCTATCATCACATCTAGGGCGGGGATAAATTAACTTTATCCGTCAGTGGTCCACCGAGCTTACCACCGATAATAACCAATTCGATCCTCAAACCCACAAAGATACTAGAAAAAGAATCAGTCGACGAAAACAGAAATAGAAACGATGATAAAGATCATAAACGATGTCCGACGCCGGTAACAGTAACTTTCTTCGGACAGAACGACGGAAAGTTGGAGATTTGCAAAGTCGAGGACGAGAAAATAAATCTTAATCCGTTTGCTGATTACTTGAACGATAGTAATGCTAATCCCTTCAGTTCTATCAGCGTTTTCCACCCTAATAATCCATTTTGCAATTCTGAAATGGATCATAAAGAGGAAATTACGGAAAGTGATTCTAAAGACTCGGATGAAGAGGTAAGTAATGCACGCTTTTATGTTAATATGTGTTTTTTCTGTTTTTCGGTGTCTGCAATGTCTGTAAACTTAACTTAAAATTTAGCATATTAGTACTAATTGATGGTGTATTTAAACAACAATGGAAAGGATTTTTCTTTATATAATATTAATTAATATGTTTATGCTAGCAGCTATAACGGAAAAAAACTATTAAAAATTGTTATAACTGAAAATTATATTCACATGAAAATTATATTAAGTTTTTTACAAATTCGCAAACGTACCACTTAGAAACATATTGACACTTATTCCTTGGACATGTCGCCACCATACTACACCTAGATACATATAATAGAGTAACGTACAGTATCTTACAGATCGCATTGATTATCAGATAACATTGACTTATCAGATAACATACAATAAAATAACTACCCGAACAATAACATTGTTGCCAGTTACATCGCCTTTATTTGAGACTATGTTGTTGAGATCTCAGGCATTATCTACCGTTAGACAAAGATATAAACTACAACATTGCAGGCAACTTCAAGTAAAATCATACACGCTGACAATGTTACATTTTCCATAGAACTATCTTGGACAGATCTAAATCTTTGCCAAACTATTTGAACAGTTTAAAAATAGAAAAGTAAAATTATTGAAATGTATTTCATATAAAATGATATCTCTTCTATCTGAACGTATATTCTTTGAACAGTCAGAAGAATAATTAAATTTTTTTCTTTTGTCGGAGCAAAAATATTGTTTTCTAAAAGGTAATCGTCCAATTTTACTGGCCTGTAAAAACCATTAAAAGATGAGTCAGTTGCTACAATTGTGGTACTTTACTGTACTCTTGCCATAGTTATTAAAAAATATATTTTTTATAAATATATAAACAAATTTAATCAACAATCCTTTTAACTTTATTTTATCTACTTTTATCGGCACTTATAAAGGGTTACAAATTTGTTATGTAAATAATTTTCCGTTTGGAATTGTGAAACTTTCCAAAATTTTTTTTAAATATCAAATTTCAATGTAGAATTGTAATAATATATTGTGTCAAAATTAGAAATCAAAACTAAGCTGAAACTGCAATCAAATTATAAAATCAAATTTAATTTCATTTATTTACATGTTCCCCCAACCCAATCAATAAATTTTATTTAGAAAAGTTGTTGTAGATAAAATTATCTACACAAGTATCTACACAATAGGACAAACATGAAGAATGTCCTAAAATGAGATAGAAAGTATGCATAGATTGCTGGTTAAAAAAATACGAGAGCTCTTACCTGTAATATAAGAATGTCCTAACACTAACGGTTCAAAAAGCCATCCAAAGGTACAAAACGATTTATTATAGAGAAAAAGAGAGAAAAACAAAAAGCTTAAATAAAATTAGTACAAATACATAAAGAACTAAACAAAAATCCTACTACTAAATACTACTTACTAGTCAACAAGTCTTTCGAAAGTGTATGTGCACTATTGTCTATCCAAGTCGTTATCACAAAGATCCTGGATCAAAAGCTGCGGAGATGTGGTAACCATTTGTCAAAGGCCACCCAGAGAACCATGCAAAAACTTCGAACACTTCGAAAAAAGGCCACTACTGTATTATAATCAATAAGTATCTGTGATTATAATGATTTATTGCTGTTATACCAACAGCGGGACAAATCGTTGACCGATTTGGAGAGCACTTAACTACTACTACTTTTTGAGGATTAAATCCTTGACGGATTCGTAAGGACTTCTGTCCAGCAGAGATGTTGCCCCGTGCGGGACTAAAATTCACTCTGAGAGTAGACGGGGGCCCTGATTCTAATTGAGATTTCGACTGAAAACATGTTGAAATCAATATGGCGACGTCGAAATGCGACTTTGCGAGCCTAGTGGATTTCAGCTGAACTAACCAAAGGACGTCACTAAATTTCGATTTATCGAAATTAATTTCAACTTCAAGAAAGTGGTTGAAATTTAATTTCGAGTCGAAATTAATCTGACATGACTAGCGGGACTGGGAGAAGCGAGGTTAGGTTCAGTTTAGGCGGTGTTGTTTTGTTTGATTGTTGCAACGAAAACTGAGGCAAAAAGTATTAATATGGCTGCGTTTTATCAGAAATTGTATGTGATTCGGCACATAATTGGTCGAAATTTTAACACCTATAAAAATAGAACTGCGGTACCTGGGGGCCCCAAGCCAGATGCTACTGATTATTTTTTTAAATATACTGTGGTGTAAAAATTAAAGAAATAAAATGTCCCAATATTAAAACTAAATTGGAAACCACAATTTTTGAATATATTCAACAGGCTGTAATGGAAGATAGAAATAATAAATAATTTGGTTGAAATAATTTATTTTAATTCTACACTCTTATTTGGAGATATAAAATAATCTTTAAACTCATCAAGAATTTTTAGAGCGGTAATGTATTGTTTTTAGTAATACCAATACTAAGCTACAGTAAATTTAAAAATATAATATAACCACTAAGTCAAAAGCCATCATAATTTCTTTTTGGTCCACAGACAATTTAGTGCCACCATCACCAACAGCCTCCATCCATTTTCTCTCAATTCAAAATATAATCATTGAGAATGGCCACTAAAAATTTAACAACTCAAACAAGAAACAAAAATGTAAACAAAACAAACATTTAACAAGCGTGCAGCGTGCAGCCAATAAACAAGACGGCCAACCCAAATTCTGAGCAGTGTCAAAATGATAAAGTAAATGTCCCCACTTTTAACTAAAATCGAAATTAATGAGAATCGCTAGCGATTGCGACTGTCATGGCGTAGTCGCTTTTAAATTTCGACATCGAAATGAAATAGAATCAGGGCCGGGGTGCCTGATTTTTCGGGGGGTCTTCTTTTAAAGCGCACCAAAAAACTATTGACACACTTTTTGACAGATGTTTGACAATGACATTTTACAGAATTATATCATTTTTTTAGAGTGAGTGCACCTTTGTCAAAAGTGGAGTTGAATACTAAATTAAAAATATTAATAAATAGTTTTATATGTTCGAATGGATTTATTCGAACAGTTGTGCACATTTGTGCAGTTCTGAACATTTTGGTACCAAATTTCTCAGATTGCCTACGAGTTATACATCATGTTTTTTTTTAGGTTAGCCTCTCACCTACTATAAGTAGTTTAAATCTACATTTCTATACTACCGTTAATTTTTTTTTTTTTTTCAAATATATTAATATTTATCTTGTTTAGAACAAAACTAGCCTAGAGGACGGATCCGATTCCAAACCCACCACCCCTCTGAGCCCTACATTGAGCAAAGTTTCTCCCTGGCTTGTCTCATCAGATGTGGTATCAGCTCCTGTCTCAAAAGTCGATACAACCGAAACAACAATAATACGAAAATCTGTGATTACAACGCAGCTATGAGAAGACGAGTACACTATCTTTTTTTTTATGGGAAGAGCCTTGTGTGTTTGTCTATTCTAACGGATTTTTTCTTAAAGCAAATAGTTATTTATAGTTTTGGTATGTCACTATGTGATATACGACAATGAAATTAAAACACTCTTGATAAGAAAAATATTGTTGATGTACAAAAGTTTCAATAACATTCAAGGTTCTTCAAACTTCAACTCAAACTAAAATTCTTGAACTACGCTATCATATAAGTATTGCAATTGGTATTGGTAGCTCCTAATTTAGTTATGGTGCTTAGTTCATGAGTTTTACTTAATTAAGTACTTAAGTTGCATACAACGGCCATGTACTTATGGTTTTAAATTTGTTTCCTATATTATTAGTAAATACAAACAACTGAAAAATGTTTCACCTTATGGCTACAGCGATTTTAAACCTTTCAAATCATTCTTTCGCATTTCTTCGCCGAGGATTGCGATCATGTTTTCGAAATTTCTCTGTATTAGCAAGCTGGAGCAATTCTCGTCAATTCATGTTTGTGAGTGACGGATATTTCTGTCAGTCATAAATTTGCTTTTATTCCAATACTACTTCAAAGTACCAGTCATATATATCTGTATTCTCTACAGAAATTATATACGTTTTTCTCAAATAGATATATTCTTCTGGAATAAAGATATTAACACAAGAGTCTTTTATATACGATGGTCCCCAATAAACGCCGTACGCCACGTATAAATTAACGCCATATGTCACGTCTGTATGCTTGTACTGTAACGAAATATTTTGCCTACCACATAGGATTTTATTATAAGGGGTTGAAAATTGGTACAGAAACTATTGGGCTAGAGATGGGCAAGCAAAACAAATCAAGAGTTATGCGAACGGCTCTCAGGGTTTGTTTGGAGTAGCTGGGTCGTGAATAAGTGAAAAACAAGGGGGTTGGATTGGGGCAACTACAAAATGAAACAAAAAAGGTACTTAAATGAATCTCCTGGACAAATGGACAAACAAAAGAACAAGAAGGATCTCTAGCTATTTAAAATGGGACGCCGCTTCAAGGAAACTTCCTGCTGGATGAAGGAAAAAGGCTCTTCCTTCCTAAAAAAGAAACACAAACGGGGTTATAAACTTTTCTAACAAAGGAAATAAACAAATTGGTTTAGAGGAACAAATTAAATATTTATTACTGTCTCAGCACAGTTACAAATACAGATAATACAAAAACAATTACTATATAAATAGTTACAAAGATTTATACCAAAATAACAAAGAGAAACACTTACTAGGTATGTCCTATCTGTTTACAAACTCTCTTAGAAGTTGAAGATGCTACAAAACTCACAAAAAATTGTTACTGGGCTATAAACTGTGGCAGAAATAAATTATTACAAATAAAGATGTATCTTTTAAATGAAACTATTCATAAAGGTTAACCTTTTTAAAAAAACAAAACAAACTAATGTCAAAAAATAAAACTATCAGATGTAAATATTGAATTTTAAAACTGAACAAATAAAATGACAGCTAAGACCACGCACTAAGACATATAGTTTTAATTATTACAAATTATTTTAAATTGTTATGAAAGCAAATTATTATAAAAAATGTCTATTTTTAATTTGAAAGTTCAAACTCAAACTTTCAAATTCATCTCCATACTATGAAAAAGTATCCTGAAACTACTGCTTAGGACATTGAGGTTGAAATGGGCCACTAGATGCAAACTTTAGACTGGGCTTCTTACAAAACTGGAACCATAGTGGTTATTTTTCAAATTTATTGTACACGCCGTTTTACAAATATCTCAGATCAGTTACGGCATTCAACAAAAAACAGTGATTATTCTTACTTTACCAGACACATTACTTTAACCGACGTCTGCCCACTCTAGTTACCCTTTCAAACCTAAATCTTCAATTCAATCGACCTTCCACACCGGCCGGCTCCTATGCCACACGTTTTCCCTCTCCAACCCGGGTAAGAAGCTTCGTAGCCGAAATCTTGTTAAACCGCTTTTGACCTTGTATCATTTCCAGCTTGATTTTAAAACTGTAGAACTAAGACGTAATATATGAATTATTTTAACTTCCAGCGGTAACTAGAATTTAGAATATAAACACAGAGACTCGGCAATATTTTACACTAAGCAGGGGCGTACCAGAAAAATTTTTATTACTCGAATATTAGATATTTTTTAAGAGATTTTCTGCATGCTACAGTACAGTAGTTGCACTTTGCGTTCAGCTTGCCACAGATCGCATCTATTATTTATTATATAAAACATACAGACGCGACGTATCGCGTAACGCTGTATGTGGTGTAGGGCCTTTAATAGAGACCATTAACTTACACAGAATCCTAAACACATGGTTCTCCTCTTTGGTATCCTAATATTCGTTATGTTTAAAATTTCTATCACTGGCCATAATCTGGAACGAAATATGATAATTGCAGTGAGATATGTTAGGTTTTGTAGTTTCGCTTTGTCATTTTGATTAAAATTTATATTTTATTATTCTTTATATTCATTTTATTTATTGAGAATTACTCTATTTCCATTTCATTTCTTTTAATTCGTATTAGTGCCTTTATACGACAATAGTATTAGTAAATCCGCCATTAAATCTATATCGCGAAGTATTTTATTATCTTTATTGTCGGATACAAAGAAATATACGTAATAATACATATATTTACTTTATTTAGCTAAATCATACTGGGACTCGAAAATGAATACAGTGAGATTTGCAGTTTTTTAGGTATAAATCTGTTATACCTAAAACTGTCTATAGTTATTTTGCATATTATAATTTATAACTTAATTTTTTTAAGGGCATATCTTCGTCATAATTTCGTTAGATTCAATAGAGTGTATTATAATATAAGAGACCATACATATTACGGATTTTTGTTAGTTATGGTTAAAGAACAAATAAATATACTATCTGTCAAGATTCCCCTTCTTCCTAGTCGGTCATCCGGTTCGGACATCGTGTCACCTTGAATTCTCAATTATATTTCGTGACATGTTTCCATCTATTCGGTTTTCTACAAGGAAGCAATGATTTAGTGGAGCTCTGACTTTTTTATAATGTGTCCACATATCCCGTTAGTGTTTTCCCCGGGTTGTCACTCATTGCTCCGTTCCCTGCAATGTAAGCTTTACCAGAACATCTCTACGCACGGTATGACCATGTTAAGCTGCGATTTTTTCGATAACAATGTTTCGGAATCTTTTTGTAACGTGCAGCGTTTTAAGTGCATTTATCAACTTCCTTTAAGGACCTGCATTCAGACCAACATAAAAAAATACAGAAGACTATTGATTTTACAAATGTCATCTTTGTATGGTGAGTGGTGAGCTTTGTCTTTACTCCTTTAACCATTGCTTATCTTCTTTTGATTTCTTGGGTGCATCATTCAGGTTGTTGGTTATGAGGGTACCCAGATATACAATTTTGATTCACCACTTCGACGTCGTTGATTTTGAGAATCTCTGGCAAAATTTTTGTTTTATTGATGCTTCAAAACTCACTCGTTCCACTCATTCTAGAAACAACATCAATTCTTCCAAAGATTCGGTGAAAAGGGCTGTATTATCTGCCTACCTTAAGTTGTTGACTCTTCTGGTGCCAATGGATATGCCTCCTTCCCAGTCTGAGATTGCTTCGCGCATTATCGCTTCTCCATAGATGTTAAACTTGATGGGACCTCTCACACAACCTTATCTTACGTTCTTACAAATCCTAAACGATTTTACCTTCATTGTACGTACCTTCATTTTTGCTGAGTTTCCTACTTACAGTTCTCTAGTAATGCGACTTGGTGTTTTGGATAACCCATTTTCTCCAGATAGTTCCACAATTTGTTCCATTTAATGCAGACAAAAGCTTTACTCTAATCAATAAAACACGCATGGGTGCTAACATTTAATTCTCTTGATTTTTCGATAAATTGTCTCAAAAGTTCAAAATTTGTTCTCTGGTGCTTCTGGCATAAATCCTACCTGTTCTTTTGGTATTTTAGGGAGCCAGTACGGCTTTAACATTTCTAAGATTATCTGCAGCGTTACCTTGTTAGCGTGTGGTAAAAGGGCAATGATGCAGTAATTCTTGCATATTTCTTTGAACTATTTTTGTGGATTGGTACATGAACTGAGGTGAACCAGTCATCCGGCCACTTAAAATTTTCCCATATTCTTAGGCAAATCTTGTAGATTATGTTTACCCTACTTCACCTGTTGCCAGGATCATATCTGCAGTTATCTGGTCTATACCCGGGCATTTACGCCCTTCTAGCTTTTTAATATAAATCTGTTGTAATTGTAGTGGTGGTTGTTTTATGGTAAGTCATGAGATTTTCGCGGTATGAGCTCCATCTTCGAGATTTGTGCTTTATGTGTTAGGATCTCAATTTTCTGCCCTTATAAATAGATTTGGTGAGAGGTCACATGTGATTTTCCTATCCTTACCTGCCTTACTTTTGGAACATGTTCCCGTTTTCATTTTTATTTTGAAGTGTCTCGACTTCATTTACCTCGTTTCTTTCTTATATTCTGTTTCTTGTCTGGTCTGATATCCACGTTTTACTTTATCCCTGCAGGTCTTATGGTTTTGCTCGACTCAATGGGTTTGTCTATGGGTTTTGTCCCGCCGTGTGAATTCATAGTTGTTCCTTAGATACGAGTTTGGGAGGGTGTTTTTATGGTCTGTGTTAGTATGAAAGCAGAAAGTAACTATTGATCACTTTGCAGTATTTTCCTGGGTACGTTTGTGCTTCCTTTATGACGTTTTTAAAACAGGATTTAATCAGGGTACAGTCAATTTTTCTCCCAAGAGGTACAGAAATTTACAAGCCGTTCTCCTCTTTCATTCCTTTCGTTCAAGTTCAATTTAAATGTAGACGTGCAAATGTAAGTTCTGCTGCTCTATTTCTTATGGAAACCAACGGCATTCGTCCGGACGTCTACTGAACAACTTTGTTTCTACTAACCTTCTCTGAATTGTCAGTTAGCGGCCACTGGTGATAGTTTATCGGGTGTCGGCATTACTTCTACATGCGAAGCAAGGATCATTTGCGTCAGTCAGTTCATATTATTGTTTTTCTTGGCTTTCCTGATTTTAGTAGGTTTTTCAAATGTCCTGTTTCGTTACGGAATGAAATTATTTCAGACATTCTCTAACTGGATAACTAAAATTTTTCTTTTTTTGAAATTGCAATAACACTTGGAATTATTCTTCCCCACAGACATGTTCAAAATATAAAATCAACTTTATATTATTGTTCCACTTTATTTTTTCAAAAAAAAAAACAGTTGCAATTGCGGCAAAAAGTTAATTAAGTTAATGTTATTTTCACTCAAAATCTATTTTCATATCATATTATTGTCATAATTCTTTTTTAGTAATTTCAGTGATTAATTATACAATAAATAATTTTGTAATGCCTTTTCTGTTAATTTTTCAGCAAAACAAAGAATGAAATAGAAACAAATTACTTCACGTTGCAAAACTTGCTATGCAAAGACTATGAAACACGCGTATTTTTTATACATCAAGTTATAAAGTTATAATCCTCATATAATTAAATAAGACTAATTCATTTTTGTTGTTAACCAGTATGTCGCAAAATAATAGATAAATGATGTAGATTACATATAAAAAAAAGATTACAGTAGTGTGAATAAGCTTTTTTAATATTTAATAGAAATAGCTTGACAGCTAGTTATAAACAATTTAATAATCAAGAGTTTTGTTTAACAAGTAATAAACAGTTAAAAAAAATTACTGTATAGGATTTTTTGCATTGCATTACTCTTTAATCAAACTTTGTGTATATAAAATTGTAAATTACTTATTGTTTTTGCCTAATCAACTTTGCCTTTGCATTGACTTGCCTAATCAACTAATTGAGCAGATAAATGCAATTTAAAGTTTAAAATGTATTTATTTTTAAACGAATAAAATAAAGCATTGTATTAAGCCGAATTAAAAAGTTAAAAACTAATGTATAGACAATTGCTAGGGCTTTAAAACGATATCTTATTTAACCCCTATTGTAATTGAAAAATGTTAAGGTTATTCTTACCCTGCCTTAGGAGTCGAAGTAAAATAATCTAAAATATCGTAACAATGTGTCCTACTTTAATCAAAAATCAACGTGTCACTGGATTTTTCAAAAATGTTGTCGCAATTCCTAATAATACTTTTATTTCGTTTTCGTCCGGTACTGATACAAACCGTCCGGTTTGTATCGATATTAGTCAATTACTTCAATCTCTATTGTCTTTACTGAATTAAAATTTGTAATAGACTAATTTGAACTATCGAAGTGTCATACATTTTTAACCATTTTCAATTAATAAAACGTGTGGCGATACGAACTTTTATTATCATCATCAGTGGCATCACAGCTTAGAAGCCAAAACCTTCTTCAGAGCAATCCTTCATTCACCCCATCTCTTCAACCAACTGGCAACCC